ACGAGGCAAAACCACGCTGTGAGTTGAAATTCCATCCGTCCCTCACCGCGCATCTAATCCGTATAGGTTTAAATTGTGAGAAAAATGCTGTTGTTTGTGAGGGATACCACGAGAAAACCATATGGAAGAGCGGCAAGGAGAGGCAGGCAGAAGAAGGTATTCATAACCAGAACTTGGATGTACGCTCATCCTCTAACATTCGGCGCAGACCTACAGAAGCGGCTCAGCTTGCCACAAATTACTCTCCAACCTATATTCGAGGGAGTAGAAACGCCCGAAGATATGGTCTTCTTGAATCACTACATCAGTCACCTAAGTGGTGTACTTACGGTTGAAGGGCAGTATAAGAATGCATTCAAGGATATGCTACTCCAGATGGCAGTAGAGCATCAAGGCCTGATGCATTCTATTCTTTCTGTGGCTAGCAGACATATCGACTACGATACTCCATACGGCACCAAAATCCTTGTCTCTAACCCAAAGATCAGCCTGGCTTCGCTACTGAATAGGTCACAGTTTCACCACCAGGAGGCGATGAAGAAACTTTGCGAGCCGATGGACAACGAGAGTGATCCGAAAAACAAGACTAATTTGTCTCCCCGCTATGGGCAGATGCTCTGTCTACTCTTGCAGACTCTCGCAGAAGGTAATCCCAATGGCGAACATCGAGTTCATCTTCAGGCGTACAAGAACCTAATCCAACAGTCGCCACCCCCGGACGACGCCTTTTTGATATTTATCACCGAATTCTTCCAGTATCGCGTTTTTGCAGACGAGCTCATACGTTATCCTGATATTCACACCCCACGATTAGCGACTGAGGATTGGACACCTTGGCTTGAAATCCAACCCGCGCGTCTGATCGGCATTGCCGATGGTTTATTCCACTACCTTGCGCAGATAACGAGTATTCGCAACACCATCAGAGCGAACATAGCTGCCGAAGCGGATCCCGTCGTTGACTATACCTCGCTATATCGAGCCGCTGAAATCGATTCTGCTATCCGAGAGTGGACTCCACATTGGCCTCCGGGAGATAGCCGCGATCGTGTCGGGCTCCTATACAAGCAGATGATGTGGGTATATCTGTTCCGGACCATCTACCCGCCCTCATCGACAACATCGCCGTCTACATTATTCACCCAACCGGCAACAAGTGTCATTCCTCTATCTCCGACTTCTCAGTCTCACTCTGTCCATACCCCACCTTCATCTGAACGACCAACAAGTAGTCATACGACGCCGCCCCGTGCCGAATCTCCGGCACCGATCCGATACCCACCTCACCACGACAACCGCATAACCATTGCCGTCGATGAATCACTAGCGATTTTAGACTCCTTCAAACCGAGTGATCCCGTGCAAACTCTGCTTCTGGTACCTTGTCTCGTGATCGGCTGCGCATGCTTCGCTCCCGCACAACGGGAGAGAGTGAGGAACGCAATCCGGACAGTTCGCGGCTACACTGGGCTCCGCAACGGCGACCGCGTTGGTGAAGTACTCGAAGAGGTCTGGCGGTTGATGGAACGCGGCGACTGGACACGCGTATGGGACTGGCAAGGTGTTGCGAGAAGTATGGGCCTCGACTTCTCGTGCGCTTAAGTCGTACCCATCTCTGGCCCGGTCTCAAACAACAACAACAACAACTCAACACAGGAGTCTAAGAACGGTCATAAACGCCGTTCCTGTTGGATACAAAGCCACCCGACTAACAATTTACTTTCAAGGTTCTCTTATTTCATATAACTGGGTTTTATCGCTCATTTGGTCATCACTATTATTTTACATATATACCCAAGTCATAGGTCTGGTTCATGTTGCAAAGAATAAATCGCGAAATTATACCATGGTGTCATTGTTTATGGCAGCGGCGGCGGCGGCGGCGGCGGTGGTGGTGGTGACGATGGGCGGCGCTTTCGGGAAATGAGGACGGAATTCGTACGAAATGGGTGCGACAAATATCAGGACGTCGGATAGATGGCTGGGCTATGTGGGCTCGGCCAACCTCCAATATCTTCTAGACTATCTACCTTCTCACCTCTTTGGTGCGGTCCGAAACTAGTAACTCCTAAAACGGTTCGATGGACAGCGTAACGGTAGCTGGCTAGGCATTTACCTGTGTTTTTGATGACGTGGCGTTTGCTCTGGATGGGGGCTTGGATGGACGGGGACTGGTCAACTCGGTTATCCCGGGTATCCCGGGGACGGCGGATATGGTCTTTCGACAAACTACTTATCTAAACGGAGTCTTCTGGGTGGCGTTATCTCATCTTGCATTTGTTTTCTTAGGTACTAATTCTACTGGAGCATGGTCATCATTAGGTAGGTACATACATACTAAGGGGCATCTTGCTCCTCGCCGTTCTATTTGCGGCTTGAACATAAATGCATCTCGGTCTGGGGCTCGTACATATTCTGCATTCCTATGATGCGTGTCTACAGCTACACATAGTTCCCGGGTGGAGGAGAATGGTGTCTCTAAAAGATACACAATTTATAATCAAAATTTCCGATATCATCTTAACCTTTACTAAGACTAACTGTGCACCCACTACATAGATACCTAATCTACCTACTTGGTAGGTAGGTAGACAGATAGTTTAGTAATATAGAATAGACAATTTAATATCTATATAAATATGGTACCATGACAAGCATTAGTCTTGATATCTATCTAGGCATCAAGACTCCAGTTATGATTCGTAAAACGGCCCAGCAGCCTACCCAGATGTTATCAAACTCATTCCGTAAACTTGAATGAGCTATGACCTATATGCTATCTATATCCAGCTGTTGTCAAGGAAGCATTCTAACCACCCCCTTTGTCCTAAATAGTTGCCTGAATTGACCAAGATAACTACCAGTAATCTGACAATGAGTGTTTGTAATTAATAGGTGTAATGAGACATATGACAACTCATGATCCATATCATATTTGCTACCTTTAATAAGCTAAAGTTTACACAAGCGCTATTGTTTTTCGCTATTTATGATATTCCATATCACTTATGGGACCAAACCTGTGTGTATAGCAGGCGTTGTAGTGGTTTCCATTAGGTAGAAGATAACCATAAGATTGCCAACATGGAGTGTTCATTCAATCTATAAACCCCATATTTCCCTGTTACCTTCTATTGTTTCCTCTTAATATTCAATCACTATGTAGAGACTACCGATCACTTGGGCCAGGAAGAGTTTTCCCTGTGAACACTTCTCAGAAAAACTGGGACCTCGGCGGTGGCCTAGAGGTAATAGGGGGCTATTCCACAAGTGTTAGATTGATGACTTTCCGTTTCCTTCTCAACGTAAATGTCTGCCGCGCAGCCATCTATAAAACCTTGCTACTTCGGGACTTGATGCTCGAATACCAGAAGGACGTAGAGGGTACAGATGTGAACTGGCATTCTTTTTAAGGGGGCTTAGAGTGCAGGTAAACCACCTTAATCGATCGAAAAACGACGAAGCCATTTCCAAAATCGGGACAGTTTGTAGCCTTGTTACAGAGAATGATGGAAACGATTTAACCGCCCCCCCCCCGAAGGTCGTAGTTTTGACGCTAAATCTAATGAAATCAAATTCTCAATGGACACGAAAGGAGGTTACATTAGTGTTTACGACTACTTCAAAGAAAGTAAGGACCCTAGCATCATCATAGTTTGGTGTGGGTTTATTAGCATGGCCAGAATACAATATACCCGTTGACTTGAAATTGCCGGTCATCAATGTCGGGACATCAGAAAACCCGGCATATCTCCCCTCTAATGTCTGCAGCGTGCTTCCTGGTCGGGTGGCGAGAACTAAATTGACTTCCGAACAATCTCAGAAGATGATTGACTTTTGTACTGGCGGTCTCTCTAAGTACTCACTGGACATCTAGCAGATCGGATTGCCCTCAGTTGGACTAGGAGGTAAGAGCGGAACCTTTGTAGGCATTCTTTTCCACTTAGTTATAATATAACAATTTTCTTTTAATAAATCATATAGGGCCTCTTTAACATCAGCTTCCCAGAGGAAATGTCTGAGCCGAGCCTAATCACAGTTGCTTACGGTAATAAGAACCCTTGGTTAAACAGCAGCAGGGCTTGGAATCCCCGAGATATGCAATTCATGGAAACTACCGAGATGAAGAGGTGGTCGTGTGTGATCATCATGAGCCAGAATGCAACAAGCTCATACGAGGGAGTCCCAAAGAACTAGAGACGTTGTTCCAAAACGAGCTCTCTAAAGTTGGAATGCAATGCAGAAAACCGGTAGATCTAGGTAGCTAATGGCTTTAAGGTTACCGTTGACTGTGTAAACGATATGGTACTCAATCAAGAGCTGCCTCTTCTGCACGAAGCCTGTACTCGCATCCCCTTCTATCAGAACAGGCCGTCGCGGCTCACAGTGATCATTGTTGGGAAACGTCACCATACGCGATTCTACACACCTGGTCAGGGACCATACGACCCCTTTCCTTGAACTATTGTCGATCGGGGCGTGACGGAAGCTCGGTACTGGGATTTCTACCTTCGACCCCACACCGCGATGAAGGGAACTGCACGTCCGATACACTACTTTGTGCTACACGACGAGATATTCAGAGCCCGTCTGAATCCAGTTAGCGAGCTAGAGGCCGTAACACAGTGGTTATATTATGTGTTCGGTCGTGCCACGAAACCGGTTAGCGTTTGCACTCCTGCCTACTATGCTGATACAGCATGTGGGCGGGCTCGTTGCTATGTACCTCGACGGTTTCTTCGATGATCCTAGTCAATGGACGGTACAGGATGCCAAGAATTACAAGAACGTTCAGAAACCTAGCCGGGAATTAATTTTCCCCGGAACTGAAATAAAATCTCACCATAATACTAATGATAGTTACTATGTTTTACATCTGAGTTTACTCGGCCATTAACACAGTCGCTCGTTTAGACTAGGACTGCAGGTGTATCTATGGGCTAGATAGAGTGAGCAATGATCACACATATGTCAGTAACCAGGTGGGCACAGCATTAACCCAAAGAGCGGTTTTGACTCGCGTGATTCTACATATTTAATAGACAGATCTGGTTTAAGAATGGCTAGCTGGCCAATGGCATAGCCTACAAATTTAGCGAACGTGTTGTATGATTCTTGCTGTTGTGATAGGTACCGTACCTGGTATATAGTACTTAACATTATATGAACCATGAAAATACCCCCTAATACCCCTTAAATCCGTTCAATTCCAAGACCTCACGCCGTTTCCACAGTTTCCAGTGCACATGCACACAATCCCTTGACTTAACTACAAGTGTCTTGTTTATTTTTCTATCTAACCTATGCAGTTGGGGTAGGCGCATGGTAAGTAGACGACCACTGAGGCTGGTAAGTGGACGTGCCCAAGACCTGTCCGGCCGACGCCGACGTGACGACCGATTTCACGATCCATGTGTTCCAGCTCGTAACTTTCGTAACTCCCGTCATAGTACCGAGCTCAACCGATGGCGTATCGGGCCATGCGCCAGACCATACCGTCGGGCCTGGGATCTGATAAGTCGTGGTACAGGGGGCTGTAGTCGTGGTCTTCGTCGAGCAGTAAACCTGAGAGATAATTAGCTATGGTTATAAGAAATAGCGACAATGTAATAGATAGACATGCATCGTAGATAATTCCGGGATCGTCCCATTTGTAAGCTCCTGGAAAGCTGACGCCTTCAGGGAGGCTGACATCGCCATCGCCCAAAACCTCGATCTGAACACAGTTTGGATAGAACTGCGCCCCGCGGATAGGGTTCTTCTGGTAGCTAACCTCAGCCTCATGGAGTCCAATCATCTCGGCCCGAATAAGGTAACTATAGGTCGGTTAGCAAATTCTTGTACATATCTCCGCCGAAAAGATGTGTCCTTATCCGTCACTCACAAGCCAGCTTTGAGCCCCTTAGGGATTCTCACGTTCATCTTGCCTCCGTTGCCGGCGATATCAGCCGTGGTAGCCCACTTTCCCGGCGCTCTAGGGCCTTCTCCCTCAGCAAACTTACCCTCCTCCCAGATCTTGACGAAGGAGTTCTCGCTAGGTGGGTCCGGGCTGAGATATACCATCGCAGGGCCGTGATGTGAAGATGCGATGACGTCGTCTGTAGCCGTGCGGGCATCATGATGCCATTCCACTACAAACATATTCATTTTTAAGTATTTCTTGTTTTCTTTATATAGCGGCGTTCTGAAGTAGAAAGACTTTACTAACTCGTGAGGTTGTCCCCAGGTGTCACTTGGATGGTATGTGGTACCTGGTGATCACCTAGCACGTTGCATCGCAAGTCGATACTATCGATGTCTTTGACAGGGCCATTAGCGAAGCCGTATGGTGGTGGTCCATTGTATGCTGGTGTACGGATCCCCGAGAATGTACCACTATCGACACCATTGACGTAGACAGACTAGTAAATTAAAATATTAGTATTATGAAGATAGTCATCTTCCCGACCCCTGATTGACTAGTGACTATCTCAACAAGGAAATGGATTCAAAGGCCAATAAAACACGGCTGTTTTCTTCGATATTACTTACGTAGATATAGCAATGGGCCTGTACAACGTCGAAGAACGTGACCACCGTTGCCGCCACTGCGGCCAAGGAGCCCCGAAGCTTCATGGTTCTCGTCGATTTCAAACTCGGTGCACTATTATGACCCCGGGTAAGTGCAGTGACGACTTTTTTATAGATCTTAAGAGCCTCAAAGGTAAAGGCGAACTAAATGACAAAAATGCCTCCTATATACGAGTAGTATTGCAGCACGACATACTTATCTCTGCCAAAAGTCCCGTACTAATCAATATCGCGCCCATATTAAATCCTGACGCAATTGGGTAGAGTTTGTCAACCATTAGACCATATCTATATCGTAACTGAGGCTATATTTAGACGAACACTCGGCAGATCGTCACGACGGAACGTGCTGCCGAGTTGAGCCACACTAGGAGTAAAGTATTTACCCGGGAAGCACAGTATCTAAGTTTATATTATTCTAGCCATTATGATCATTGGATCATGAATACGGGTTTAATAAACTTAACGAGGTACTAATTCTACGACATAGCAACGCCAGGAAATATCCAGGTTTAGATAATCAGAGTCGTGTGTTATCCCCTATTTAGTTGAAATATAATTGGGCATAGGCACGTACATGGAAAAGAAAGCATTTGACTCCTTGGGTTCAACTTTTTCTTCATTGACTAAAACATGATTCTTTAATCGATTTGTTCTCTAGGTAACAAATCCAGAGACATATAAACCGCATATTTCACAAGTTTCATTTGCCCTGATTACTATTTCTCATTAGTAAAGCCCCTATAGCCAAATTCTAGAAACCACTAACCTTGTCATATGGTTTAACCTCCACAATCAGCTTTCCGGTGTTCCCACCAGAGAACAACTGTCCTATCGCAGTCTCTGCCACTTTAAGGCCGCCCTTGACAATAGTCTCCTTGGTCTTGACCTTACCCTCGACCATCCACTGCCCTAGTTGCTGCTGTGCTTCTTGAAACTCGCTTATGTAGTCTATGACGATGAACCCTTCCATACGGATACGCTGGACAGTCACTCGGAGGAGATTTCGAATGCCAGTTACATCTGGAAGACCTCCGGGTCCTTGTCCGAGCTTGTTGTAGCCGCTGATGCTGCCGCACATTATGAAACGCGAATGCACTGCGGCTTGGTCAAGTGCCATTTCGAGGACTATGATGAGTTAGCATTCGTCTCCTCTGTTCAACTGAAACCAGATGTTCTCATAGGCATTATAAGCGATAAGTCGTGGGTGGGATTAGGGACTTGTAGGCATATAAGGGGTCGAAAGGGGCTGACTCGTAGCTGATTTAGGAAATACTTACTCTCGCCGCCCACATTGTCAAAGTAGACATCGATAAAATTGGGCGTAGCTTTGATGAAGTCGTCGCGGAACGTCGGCGACTTGTAGTTGAGCGCGACGTCGAAGCCAAGCTCCTCTGTTAAGATCTTACACTTCTCATCCGAGCCAGCGATGCCGACCACGCGAGCACCCCAGATCTTAGCAATTTGGCCGGCGACGGAGCCTGTCGCGCCTGCGGCTCCCGAAACAACAACAGTATCTCCTGGCTTGGGTTGGCCGATTTTTTTGATGCCAAAGTAGGCTGTTAACCCTGTTAACCCTGTTATATATAATTCATTAGTCGTCATATCCACGCGATCGGCATTAAGAGGAGTCAACATACCAAGCCCTCCCAGTGCATCAGTGGCCTTAGTACCAGCTGGCAAGTTGAGTACGTCAAATTTTGCATCGTCTAGGATGATAACTTCGGTCCATCCGGCAAAACTGGATACCAAATCGCCTGCTTTCGCCTTAGAGCTCTTGCTCGCGAGAACCCTACCAACAATGCCTCCGCGCATTAGCTCCCCAATGGCGACAGGTGGCGCATAAGACCGGAAGTCTATAGGATTCGAAGCCAACGGCTCCTGTCAGTCTGGGTAGCAACATAACGGATCGGTTATACTTAAAAAGACGGCTGGTGCTGGAGGAAGAGGGACTTAGTATGAAAAATAGGTGACTGACCATGCAGCATAGAGCGCATAGCGGGATCCAGAGACAAGTAGAGAGTCTCTACGAGGACTTGACCATCCTTTAGCTGGTCGGCGGTAGGTGCATCGGTTTCTAGATACTTGAAAGTTCGTCCCGGGATGATATCGCCCTCGGGTCGTTCAGCAAGGTGGAATGAGTGGTTCTTGCGCGCCATTCTGAATGACCAAGGGGTATAGATTTAATAGTGAAATATAGGTAGGAGTGAACTCTGAGTTTAGCAAGTATAATTCAATGAGATGGACGATCTCCCAACATTGGTTGAGGGGTGGGATACTGGTACGATTATATAGTGGAATTCCGAGAGCTTCCTACGGTGATTATAAAGCATATGCAACCTCCTATTTACGTAGGTACCTACCAAAAAAGTGACAAAATAACTGGCGCGCCTCTGCTAACATTTGTGGTGCCAACGTATGTTGGATCGCAACTATAAGGTATTACAACACCGGATTTAAAGGAGTAAAGGGGTGTAGCTCCATATCGAGTGTGATGTGTGATACCAGGCATGTATTGTGAATCATGATACAAACTATGAACAATAAAATATATCGTTTTCCGTTTAATTATTTAGCTTAACCTAGTATATTAGTTCATGACGTCTTTGAATGTTGTATTGACACTTCTTAGTCTTAATTTATGGTTAATTGAATTTTGACTCCGAGGGTATTGCATATTTACGGGACATTAAAGAAATAAATCTACAGGGTTACTCATAACCCTGCATGCAGTGACATAGTTGCTACATATTTAAAATATTTATCTAACCTAAGGTAATATAAAATGGTTTACTGGTAGTGTATATCGAAGGATTAATACCGCAAGGACCTTCAAGGTAAAAATAAACAATATTTCATCGTTAGTGACTTGAAAAGGCGGATAGAGTAGCTTTTTACACGTCATGTTCTAGTTAGTCTTAAATGCGTCCCATACTAAATAGATGTTTCTGTCCCATACGTACTTTTGTCGTATCACACCTCGCTTGTGCCGCTTAGATAGGCGATACCCCTGTCATACATATTAGACCACCTGTATAAGCTATGCGAGTTAATCATCCGGTACAACTATCAGTCCGTCGGGCTTAAGACAAGTTATGTGCTATCACTTTCGTCCGAAAGACTTTGAATGATAGGTAGGCATTTGTAAGCAGCTATCCTTCTATTAAAATTTATACACTACTTATAAGTATGCCCCGCATAACATTTATATACCTACCTAGGTAGATAAGTAAAATATCTTCTCCCCTTTATGACATCTACTATATTCTATGATGTGTTTGGAGAAGTAGTCCCTAAAGTATAGCTAGCTATTCGGTTCATCAGCAAAGGTCACTGTATTGTTGTCTAAAGTGCCCGTGATCACATGCGAAGTGTATTATAATAAGTCTGAACCATTGCATTATCTTGTCAATTCGCAAGAATATTATATTATTGGCTATCTGCAAAGAGCCAGATGAAGTGATCATTTCATGGTTCAAGGTGCCATACACAATCCTCATAAACTGGCATGCTTCGTCCACCCGCGAGCTATCAGGAATTACAAGTGCCTACCTACCCAAGAGGTATATATAAAAATACAGTAAGGGGTATCGTGGCCATACATTGCTTCTCTACTCGTTCATCTTAGTGGTTGTTATTTCCATCACCTAGAACCCGTAAATTGTTGGCACTGTTTAATCTCTTAGACTAAACCAAACCTGACTAAAAGTAACAAGCTGAACCGCCCCTTGTGCCAACATCAAAGAACGCCGACGTATTGAGAATTTGGGTTATCGAGTATTGCAATGATGAGGCTTGGCAATAACTAGACCAAAAGACCAAAAAAAATTCGTTGGTGCAATTGCCGATGCGCTCCCAATTGAGAGTTGCTTTAAGCGGCTCGATAAAAGATCTTAAAACCTGTTTATGCCAACTTGTGAAGAGACAGCTTCGGGAAGTTACTAGACCAAGGATACTCTTAATAAAGTGCTCCCGATGCAGAATGAAACTCGTTGGGTTCCTGCAAGACATGGCGGAAAGGGAAAGGGTGATATCATGTAGTATACGTCTACAGTCAAGACTACCTACACATTACAAATGTGCCGGAATGCTCTCCACTTCGCTTGCGTTTGTATCACTGCTCAGTTCTTCCTCAACATCCAAGCATTGCTCGTTATCAATAGGTTCGTTCCTTTTCGTGACGACCTTGCGCTTGCTGGAAATTGGAGTTCGAGAAGCCATGGCTTTATTGGATAAGCTACGACGATTCTGGTTCTTTAAGACTCTCTGTGACCTCATATTGGCGATAGGATACTCAGTCGAAGATTCGCGCTGGAAGTTTTCGTCTTCTTCCACATTGTTCCCTAGACTGGCGCTGCCATCAGAAGTGTGCTCCGTTATAACTTGCTCTGGGAGCTCTTCGTCCTCTGATTGGTCACTCTCGTCACTCTCGTCACTCTCGCCTCTACTTTGAACACTGCTTTCGCTCTCCTCGTTTTCAGCCTTATCATTATTCTCTCCAATCTGCTGTTCTTCCTCGTTGTTTTCTGCATCTTCCTGGCTGTCTTCATCTGCGTCACTTTCCTTATTATCGTTCGCGATCTCTTTGTCATTATTGTCGTCGTCGTCCTCATCATCCTCATCGTCGGTCTTAACAACGGTGGCTGGAGTCTTTGGTCCGCGCTGAGTCTTGCTTAAGATCTTGTTGACCTTGCGCTCGATTTCATTGTATTCCGCATTTTGATCATAGTCCTCGCCACTTGGGAAGTCGAGTTCTTTGGTTTCATGATATTTCACACTGAGTTGTTTGATAATCTCAGGGACAGTCATGATACCATGATCGGGGACGGAATGCTTCAAGCGGTACCAGACTAAGATGATTGTAGGACGCCGCCAACGATCACCCGACTGCTTTCTAACCTTCGCCCACGGAATACGACCGTCTGCATTGACACCGAAGGTTCGAATAGCTTTGACAATGTTATATCGGTCTCGACTTGATATCGTTTCTGCCTCGTCCCGAGCATTCTGAATGATCTGATCGATTGGAAGATTCTCACCGCCGTCTATGCTACCAACGCCATCTTGCACTTGCTTCTGCATAAGCTTCCACTTCTGAATACACTGGAGTCGGCTACGTGTTCGCTTCATCAACTCGCTGACTCTTTGCCAATCAATCAGATCCTCATCAGACTCGTCTGATACAATATGTCCTTCTTGGCGGCGCTCCCGAATTACCTTGACGGCGTCAGATATTATTGACCGGAGTTTTTCTTCTTCGTCATAGGTCCATGGGTCAACGCGCCGACTCTCGCCACACACGACGTAATTTCGTATGCGATCTCGTACATCTTCGGGATGACGATTGATGAGCTTTCCAATTACGGCATACTTAGATCCATGTATCTCCCACATCTTCCTTAATTCGTCGTGCTGCTCCGGAGTCCATGCACCACGAGCAACAAAGTTGTGGAACTTTCGGCGGCACTGATTTATCACTTTCTGACGGCGACGATTTGGGCAAGTAGCCACAACGCGAGCCCAAAATTCTTGGGATTTGACTTCTCGGGGGTTACCCTGAATAAGATCATTCATTTCGGATTGAGTCAAGTTGTGGTCATCTCTCCAACGTTCAACGGCTTGACTGATGTTACGAAGCTCGAAGTCACTAAACTGGCCAGTAGCCAATTCATGAGGTTGTGTCTCCTTCGGAGGCGCACGGCGTTTGGATGGGGTTTTCTTTGGTGTGGGGGTATTAATGCCGTTTCCTTGAAGCATAGCCGAGATTTTAGCTTGTTTCTTTCCTGTGGCAGACGAGGAAGAAGCCTGTTTGGTTAAACTGTTGGCATTACCCTCTGCCTCATGTTCGAAAAATGACGGCTTAGCAACACGCTTCCGTGCCGAGTGTTGCTTAGGCCGAAGACTGATACTGCTACTGTTTTGGATATCTTGAAAGTCTGGTGGATATTCATCATCAGTGGTATCGGCGTTAGGCATAGTCTGGGGGACTAAATTTCTATCGCTAATGCTCCTTTGTTCTTCCCTACTATCACTCCCTTTATCAGATTCTGGTTCTTCACCATCGCTATCTGGATTAGTAGCATGATTCTGGTCATCCTGTCGCATACTATTTGGCAACAGACCAGTATCAGACGAACTATCCTCAGGTGACCTTGTCTCCATCTCGTTGGATTCTGTGCTGGGGTGTATAGCCTGTTCAAGGTTTGGGCTGTTACTGTTCGTGTTCGAATCGGAGACCGAAGAATCGTGTGATATGGATTCTTGCCTAAGGTTGCCCGGCGACACTCTTGGGATGCTGGTGTCCATGGAGTCATCCTCAATGACTTCCAAAGCCTTCCTGTTCTTCTTGCGACCGGCATAGAGACTCTCAGCAAGGCCACTGAATGAAGTTACCGAATTCACTCCAAGGCTACCATTGATGTCGAGCTTTTGTCTCTTTCTGTCCTTGGTAGCAGAGCCCAGTATCTTGCGTTTCTTTGACAACGAGACCCTTGATGGTATAGACTCTGTAGTCGTACTGTTGGTAGTATGCAAGCCAATGATGGGACTTTGTTGAGTCTCTTGGACTTCATCGGCTTCCAATGATTGAATGGGGTCGTTAGGCATTTCAAGGTTGCCTAAATCAGGAGATGCTTGCAATTGTGCTTTCTTTTGGCGCATTTTGTTGCGCTTCTTACGCCTACGGCGTGCACTGAGAGAACCTTCCTCGGCACCTGGAGAGGAACTATTCAGGTTTGTTTCGTTATCCACTACATTATCGAGGTCGAGGAAGCGGTGTTGTGATATTAGACTGGGTCGATTTCCGCGTCTTCGTTTCTTGGATTTGCTTGATCCAGGGACTGGGGTTGAAATCTGCTGTTTATAATCTGGAGATTCGGGTATTTCGACTTCGGTGCTATGCTTTGGCAACACCGCAGCTGGCTGTTGTGGGGGAGGTGAGCTAGACATTTTGATGTCTAATTGATTATATTGTTGATGAGTCGGACTGGGAGGCAGACGAGTTGCGGATGGGGGCACTTGACTCGAGAACACAATGTCGGGAGACTGGGGAGTATACGGCGGATGAGAAGGATGGGGGGGTGTTAAATCCGGATCGCCTTCTACACCATCAAACTCAGTTTTCACCTCAGTGCTCAGTTGATTTCCCATGATTTAGTGCATTTTCCAATAAGTGGAAAGTTACGAATGGTGTCAAGTGGACCTAGGAAATGAATAGTTGATGCGGTATAAGAGGGACAGGCTCTCTGGTGACCTTTTAATGTTGTAGAAAAGAGGTCGGGGTGGTATGTATAAGATGTAGAGTCGCGATAGATGTGCAAAGCGTTCGAGCGCTACGCAATTGTCCTAAGCAGAATAGGACTTCGTTGCAAAAGAAACAAAGTGCAGACTTCACAAATGCCAAGGGGGGGTAGACAATTCCCTTCTAGGTAGTCGGCGATCAAGGTGAAGTAAGGCAGACGTATAGAAAGCCCATGTGAATTAATTGGGGGTACGCGTTAAAGTTGGTGATGTGTGACATTCCGTCGCGTTTAGATGGAAAAAAAAAAAAAAAAAAGTAAAGGTGGGCTATCTACGAAGTACAACTAAGTATTTACAAGGGTCCTTTGTGGCATATGTGCCTTCCCTCCCTCCGTGCGGGGTCTAGTCCGGAATACTTGCACAATCGCACCTACTCTATGGGAATTTTGTAACGGCGCAACTGCATGCTTTAGGTACCTCCTATGGCGCTAATTGTGCAAGACTCATAGGTACATGCCTAGGTACCTGTATTAATCGTGGCTTATTTCCTTGCCCTGAAATTTCCTTTCATGTTAGGTACCTAGGTAGGTACTTACGTTATCCAAATCCCTTTTATAACAGACAGGCACCTTAAGGTATTTATGTATGTACCTGATTCGAATATGGGATGTGCTACCAGAGCTGCATGTCTTACTCCACTTTCGTGCAGTTCTTTATACGTTTTAATGCATATGTACATAAGATCAGGTATTTAGTCTTATAGACTATATCGACAGTTTCCATACTTGATGATACTGACAGGAGATGGGAACCACTACTAGAGCCTATTGGAAACTTGGAAACAAGAACAGAGTATTTATATATAAATTACCTGCATTATACCTATACTACATAAACAGCGTAACCTCATCTCCTACACCACCCCCTACTACCCGAACCTTTGCCCCAATCTCTAAAGGATTACCCTCGAACACAACAAACTCCCTAGCATCATCGGTTTTCTTTAGTCCTAATAGCTCATACACATTATCTGAGACTAAATCCAGGGCATCTTTCTCACTGAGCCTACCCTGACCGTTTCTATATGCGATCCCGGCAAGCAAGCCTACGTCGCGCACTAACCAGTCTTCGTTAATACCGATGGCTACACGAACTCCGGCTTCAACAAGCTTGTCTACCGCGGTACCGTTTGTTAGAGGCGCCCCAGTCAGCGCCCGTCGCTGGTCCCACGAGTTACGGTATGAGAGCAGAGGGTTGAGCACGACACCCACCTTTGCTGCTGCTAACTCATCCGCCAGCAAGAAAGACTCGGCGCCGCCGATGATGATAAGAGAGATACTGCCACTACCTCTTGAAGAAGCAATAGCATTATCAACAGACTCCTTTGCCCTTAAGAGCGTAGCGATCACATCAGCGCTGTGAACCGTGATAGCCAATGGCAAAGAGCCGTCGATCACTTTACTTAAAAATGCAGCTTCGGTGTAAGGGTCTGCAGTAGTAGTATTGGAAGTAGAAGCCTCGATCAGCTTGTGGCGTAATGTATTGACAGCGTTCGAGATCGAAGTGCTACCACGCTTTGCGCTCAGATCTAGCGTATAGTGTACCGCTGCGTCATCGGCAAATATGGCACCCTCGTCAAGGGCATGCTTCGCACCAGTACGGAATCCCACGCTGGTGCCTTGGTGAGTCGCTTGTCCCGAGTATTTGGGTGCCGAGATGGCTCTGGTTACGCCATATTTATACGCGTAATGTAATTTCTTCGTCTCAAGAGCCAACCCGTCGATACCTCGACTAAATATTTCCGGACTACCTCCATTCTCGGTATCCTGTTCGGCGTCGATACCATTGAGTCCGAGAAGAGAGCCGAATACCGTGAACGGTTTAGTTAAATGGCCGTTTTTGAGATGGATGGTTTTGACTCCTGATTTGGAAGCCATCTCAAGCTCAGCCTCGCAAATTCCCATACAAGCAATTTTACCACGCGAAATCACGACAGTAAAATCCTCATCGTGGGAATTATGTTGCTGGGATGGTAAAAATGATTTGGAAATCCCCATAAGGACTACGTCACCCACAATGACCGTTTCCTCAGTAATAGGAGCCTCCGACGTAAAATTACGAGGGGCAGTAAACGGCTTCTCCAACTCGACAGGATCCTCAAACTGTGCTGTTCCGTCTATCCAGACTTGGACCGGTGCGGCCCCAACACTCAACGGGTCGCTATCCCATACAACAACGTCGGCATCAAATCCAGGCTTCACCTTACCTATTCGCTGTCCAAGGCCCAATCGCTCAGCAGGGGCTGTTGTAACTGAAGCCAAGGCAGCATGGTAAGGCAATCCATATCCGAATGCCTTTGCGGCCTCAAAGACGACATGCTGGGCATTTAGAACTGGATTGTCGCTCACGTAAATAGGGGTCAGTCCATTGTCGTACAGCACCTTGCCAGCATATTCTGATCCAATATAGGCCTCGGCCTTATACCACATATTATCGGCAAAAAGGGCCGATGCAGGTGGGGTATCACCATATGCTCGTTTGAGGATTTCGGGAACGAGGAACGTCTGGTGAGCATGATGAAATGCTCGAACCGGAAACTTAAACTCATTGGTGTGGTCCACGAATGCTTCCAGATCTGGAACCGTGTAGCAATGGGTATTAACATGGACGTGTCCACGCAACACCGCAGCTAGTGTCTCCCATTCCAAATCTTGAGGCAGGTAACTATCCATCTGTTCAACACCGATGGACTCGGCAAGGGTACACCAGTCATTTTGAGCTTGAACTTGCTTTGCAGCCTGCTCGAAAGCATGTCTAAATTCCCAAGACTCGCCAAGTCGGCTAGTAGGTCCATGCTCGCCAGCTTTGCCATAGGTTCGCTTAGAATTCTCTCCACAAGCCATCTTGATGTATCTCCAAGAACGATCCGGATCGGCTAATAAGTCGTTTATTGAAGTCTCGTTGCGACCGTCAGGTATACCAACAGCATGCTTAATAACGAAGGCTTCGCCGCCAATGTTGTTACTAGAGCCCGGTAACACTAAACTTGTCGTTACTCCTCCAGACTTTATAACTTGAATCTGGTGATCGAACACATTTATACCATCAATAGAACGAATGTATGGAGTTATATTAGAACCCATCTCATTTGTATCGTCGTTCCCAACTAACTCCGGTAGACTGTCGACGCCAGCATGGCTATGCATGTCGATAATACCACTCGTGAGTTGACGACCTTTAGCATCCCATATCAAGGTATCTGATGGGAGTGAGCGAGCATCAATATCCTTCTGGACTTCCTTAATGAGCCCGTATTCCAATAGAACGTCGGCGTTTATCCACGAAAAGCCCTTGCCAGCGCGTGCATCCTCGTCGCTAGTCCCGTCGGCGGGTTCGCCAACCCAAATAATGGCGTTCTTGATAAGAGTGGGCTTGTGCCCATCAACATAACGCGCATTCCGCTCCCGGCCTAGGCCAATGGGATCGCGTGGCTTAGAGCGCAGTTTGGCACAAGTCCGCAAGTTCTCACTCAACTTCTCAATCGATAGTTGAGATACTGGGCGGCCCACTGGGCGGCCCATTGGGCGAGTATCCATTTGCCACCATTGTGCGTAGACGATAAACGCGAGGCATGTCAGAAAGAATAACTTAACAGCCCGAGAACGCCGTACAGACCTGCGCCTGCGCCAATCCGGCGCAGCTACGGCACTGTAAGGAGGGAGCTCACCCTTCCCGTACTCCATTTCTTCCGGTTGTGGTTTACAATGTACGGATGAAAAGGGAGGAGGAAGAACAAGAAGAGAGGGAGAGTTTAAGGGAGGCTGGTGTTGATCATTGGGGAACATCCAATGACCCCACGATCTTGGACGAGACCTAGCCAATTAGAGAAGGTTTCAATACGACTTACAAGGGGTAGTCAAGCTCGCGACACCCCACAAAGATAACGACACCACTACCGGTAAATTAACTACGACTCAGATGCTCCTATTTTACATGTATATTACATGTATAGTAATCCCATAGCTAAGTCTCCAGGTTCATATATACGCGAGTTTTATAGTGTTATATATAAGTTACATATAAACCGGAAGTTTACAACTATAAATCTAACCTAATCAATGGATGCTCATATCTTAATAGAAGCCAAGGCTTCCCGCTACTAGGTTGAACATCCCTACATGTTCCAAGTTAACTAGGTCATGATCATAACTTGTGTATGATTATACCAACCTATTGGTTAGGTAGGTACCTATTCATAGATCACGGCCATATCGAATATGATTAGCTTTCTATTAAGACGCTGCCTAGGAAGCACGCGCGGTAGCGTTGTTCAATCACATACAGAACCGAAAGGTAAAAGAGGATACGAACTTAATGACAATTAAGGAGAGCTTGATTTAGAAGAGTCACTTGAGAACCATTCAAAGACCCCTATCACGTAGTATGGAATGGCTAAAACATCAACACGCATATGATTAATGATTAGTACGAGAATCCATTTGTTTGTGCCTGCCAGTAGAAAAAGGCAAAAGCATTAGCTTCATCCTCTCGACCTTAACAGGTATGGCATATGGCATCTTTAGCAATTAGTTACATGAAGTTCCTGTTTTCTGCAATAAAGCAACCGATACCCTCCCTTTTCACCCTCTCTCATGGTCAGTTGACCATCGCCTCAGGAGGACTACTCTACTCCTAGGCCGGGTTCCCCTTATCCTTACCACACCACCTCACTCTCGGCTCTCCTCCTCGTCGTGCTCGTCTTCGTCGGCCGTGGGAAGGCTGGGGGTAGCAACGGACGGCTTCTTCAGCGCCTGGAACGCGCGGCGCAGCGAACCGGAGAAACTGCTGGCGGTTCGGAGTGTTGCAGAGTGGGCTGACTCGGACATCTGCGAGCTCGTCTTTCGCACTTGCTTCTCGATCTTCTGGCTGGCTTTGGCCTTGGCCTTCTCATCCTTTTTCTGGGCGCGCTCCTTCTCGCGCTCCTGGCGCTTCATGCGCTTCTCCTCGTCTCGGCGCTTCTGCTCTTCCGGATCTACGGGCGCGTATAGGAACGGGCCCGGGGCGGGTCTCATGACGAACTGGTCGTCCGCATCGAGCCACATGGGGTTCACGGAGAGACCACTTCCCGGCTGGCTGTGGTGCTGTGATCCTTGTCGCGATCCTTGTCGCGATCCTTGTCGCGACTGGCGGCTCGCGGCTGAGCTAAGGGCCGAGGGCACACGAGGTGCGGGCTCCGGAACGATGGGTGCGGATGCGGGCGCGTGGTGCACATGGTGCGCATGGTGCGCATGGGGGATATGGGGCATATGGTGCGCATGCTCATGGACCGCGATGTTGGGAACGCTCGGTGCGTCGTGAAAGAGGCCATGGTGAGGGTTGTAATAGAAGGGATCATCCTGCGGGGCTGCAGGCTGACCAACCTGCTCTTCGCGCTCGATAGCTTGCGAAAGTTCTTCAAAGATTCGGTCCTCAGCCGTAGTATTGTGCGCGTGAAGCTCGGCACTGCTCTAGAACGCAGAGATTCCTGGCGCGCGCAATATAACCTGATGACGGATGAAAGTTCTCATACCGGCCTCGGTTCGCAGGGGTTGTTGGTACAGACTATGCTGCAATGCTGCTAAAGCAGTAGGTCGACTGACTCGGCCAGTGTAATCATTGGCTTGGAAATCGGTCATCTCATCGCGGATGATAGCTCGGATATTCTCGCTGCCCAGGGCTCGAGAAGGGGTGCTCGCAGCAATGACTGACGACGGGTGAATCTGATCGGTGCCTCGGCGGGCACGGCGAGATCGTTCAAGTTCGGGCACCGGGGCTCTAGGCGGCTCCTCAAAATCAGATTCTTCGGGATCTACCTCTCGCTGGAGAGTTCTCTGGAATCGTTCAACCAGAGGAGTGTTCGGATGAGTTTCTGGCGAGTAGCTTCCAGCAAGTTGCTGAAGCTCCGAGGTGGCATCCATTACGCTTCGAGGAGTCACTGTGGATGTCAAAGGTCAACAAGATATCTAGTGAGTACATAGAAGTGAAGTAGCCTTACAATGAATTCGCGAGATATTTCGTGCGTCTTGGCTTGTTTCGCGATGGGTCAGAGGAGATTCTGTGCGTAAGTATCGTAAGCTCATGACACAAAATGCAAAAGGGTTTTGGGTGGTTCAAAAGAAAATGTTTCCATACCAGAATGAATTTGCGGAGCAGAGCTGACCAAATCGGTCTCGTTCTCTTGTCCCTGCTCGATGTGCGGGTGCTCTGGGTGCTCTGCGCTGCGGTCTGTTTACGGTCAGATCAAGTTCGTGATCTATGCTCAGAAGAAAAAAAGAAAAAAATTACTGTTGCAATCAGAGCCCTGGGCATCTGTCGCCTGGGACTTCTCCGAAATAGAGACTTCTTGCTCTAGTTCTGCCATCTCCTGGTTGGTCAACGTAAGTGACTTAGGGCCGTCTTCGTTATTCGTAACTGGGCCGGCCAGCAATTCAGCCTCAGACTGTGTGCTAAGTGAGTAGACCGAAGACTCGACTGCTGAATCATCATCTCCAAGGAAAGGGAATCGCACCGTAGCAGCCGTTAATGGTTCTCTATGAACCACGTCCTCCGTCAACGTATTAGTTGTCATTTCCTCGGGCGAACAAATAGCACCTCCGGCTGGTTCTTCTGATAGTCTACGCAAGTTCGTAGTCGACGTGCTTCTAGGCAACGCAGCCTGTTCGTGATGGGGTGGCTTGGCTTCCTTGAGATTTTGTGCTCTTGGGCGTTGTCGAGGCGGTGGTGGTGGTGGAAAGTTTGGGGGTGGGAAGGGTGGTTCCAGTTGAAGTATTGTTGGTAGGCGCAGAGGGACGTGACCTGGATCCGTTTTAAATTTATGCTTGGAATCAGCAGTATGATTAGAATCGCCGACGTGCACATGGTCGTCGACATGCGGGTTGCCGGCGACTTGCTGGGGGTCGGCGATGTGCTGGCGATCGGCAATGTGCTGGTGGTCGCCGACAGATGTATGATTATGAAATCTTCCGTCACTAGCAAAACGTCTACGGTCTTCCATGGGCCTAGGGTCGGCGACGTATGTTGAGGCACCGAGATATCCAGGGCCGACAAGAGCTTGAAATTCAGCAACATGGTCTTTGACCTCAGGGTTACTAGGGGCTGTCGTTCTCTGTTCCTTACGTCTTTCTCCTGATACATCTACATCATCTACTGACCCATCTAAATTCCACCAAAGACCGTTAGCTATAGATCTATAGTCGACTGTAGATGACAGATGACCTTCACAGGTCTAAACAAAGTATTGAAAGAAGCGTTAATTAGACAACGTACCTTGAAGACTTTCTCCATTGTCTCTAGGAGGATTGATATCCCCTGTTCTCACCCTTGTTGCTTCTGTGTATCTAGTAGAACTATTAATGCTTGGGAGCTTAGAAGGCTTTGGAGAGTCCTCCTCTAAGCTCTCTATAGTCTCATCAAAAGTTGCCTTATTGGGCAAGGCAAACTTCACACTTCGTGACGAAGGAGTCTTCAAAGATGTTGCAAATGATGACTTCTGTGCCGATAATGGCTCATGAATAGAGGATGAATGAGTAGTCTCCTTTGAACCCTCTCCTGGTTCCGTGTGAGATTTAGGGGGCGGTTGACTAAAGAGGCTTGTCTTTAGAAATAATGCATCCTCTGGGGGCATGTACGCGTCAATCAAGCTTTCGACTGACCTTCTTAGGGGTGAGATGTCAACGATGTTGTTCGTAGTCTCCTCTGCCAACTCAGACTGCGAGCTTGGGGATAGGTTGCCACGCCTCTGGGCGCCGCGAAGTCCCCTCGTTGGTATAGGTGAGGGTATACTTGACGCCTGGACTGGTATTTTGTCAGGCGGCGGATACAGAACATATTTATGGCGTCTTTCAGACATGGTTGCTGCTGTGACGCGACGCGACGCGACTATGAGTGAAGTTGTAACTATCTTAAATGTTCTGTTAGTACTTCTCAATAGCCATAATGAGCTATATATTTTATGGGCTTACTTTGTAATAATTCCAGATGAAAATGGAATAGAATACTTAATGAGGCCGGGCTTTGAATTCACCACAGGAGGATGATTTGTATAATAATAGTTACCTAACTTTTTATAAAGGTATAACGGTCAAGAAAGGGCAAAACTTGTCGAGGTTATCGGATCGAGATGCACATGACGTGTGCCGAAATCAGGTAGTTTTGATGTAACAAAATTGAACTTGTGGGGATTGCAAGAAGCGACGTTCAATAAAAAAAATTGTTGTGCGGAAAGGATGCTATGCACAACTAGGTCGGCGTGGGGAGAATCTGAAATGGCAAGTCTGTGAAGTGCGGGACGCTTAAGAGTCACTGGCTTTGCCCGTTGTCAAGAGTTAAGCATACACCAAAATTACAATTGTCAAGGATAATCTATCCTCCAAAATATTGGCAGGTTTGAATTTTAGATATTTGGACCAATTGTTAGTTATTTCATGAAGCAATTCAGCAGATATTAGACAGTCACGGTGCCATAACGCTACGCAGGCTGTTTAGATATCCCTTAAAATATGTCATTTGTTTATTCCTAAGGTCTAAATAAACAAAATAATTTTTAAGTACCTAAGTAAATAGGTGCATCATCGTGACTGACTGTATTAGCAAAATAGAGGTTCTCTTTGTTCATTTCGACGTTAAAACTGTCCGATATAAGTTTGTAAGTCTTCATCAAGTCTTGAGGTTCTTGATGACTAGGAGGATTAGATACATAGGTAGGTACATACTTGCTTCATACCTTGTACATAAATACATTACAGGGGACCACCAGACGTCCCATAAAATATAAAACAACAGGGGGTAGGTAAGGGGGGCAACCCGGCTGCTTGGATAGAGCTGCGCCACTACCGAGATACCTTAGAAGGCCTCCGATAGGTAAGTGTGGCTCTTACAAGGAAGCAACGCGCAATCTCCCGGACTCTCCTTAGCGACTTCTTCCCGTTTTTGTCTCATTTCACTTCAATTCTCGGAAGTACGGCAAAGTTAGCAGTTACGCCAGCTCTCTTCATGACCAACCACCATACTTACGATGCTGCCGGGACTAACGAGCCGGATTACCCCTTTTAGAAGGTCAGCATGTAAACGCCTCAATGCTACCTCGACACGCGCTGGGCTGGTTTGGCCCCCATCACAGCGATCGTTCTCCACAACAATGACTATGAGGTACCAGATTGGCCCGGAGCCAGAGGCAAGACAGTCATTATCCTTTAAAATGGGCGAAGCTGCAGCTACTACTTTTGCTTCTGTCGTAGTTCTAGGCCTTGGCTTCGCCGGCGCTGGTTACGCTTATCATCAGTTGTATAAGTGGTTACAGCTCCAGAAGATTCACCACGCGTTTGAGCCAGGAGCCGAGCCAATTCTGGCATTGGCAGGGAAAAACGTGCCAGCGCCACCTAATTGGGTTATCCGAGAAGAGCAGACTATAATAAACAACATTGTTTCGGCGACTGAAACGGGCCACTATTACCTGTTGATGGGTGATAAAGGATGTGGGAAAAGTAGCATGCTGATCGAAGCTATGAGGAAAGTAGACGGAGATGGTTGCGCCATGCTCGAAGCATCTAACAGCGTCGAAGTCTTCCGTATAAGACTGGGCAAGGCAATCGACTATGAGTATCACGAGGATTACATCGGTGGTTACTTTAGCGAACGCGGTCCTAGAGAATCTACGGCGTTACTCGATATAGAGAGGGCGATGAATAAGTTGGAGAAAGTGGCGCTGCTACATCGGGCGAAGAAGAATAAGCCCCTGATCCTCATCATTAACCAGACCCATCTAATTCGAGATGACGACGAAGGCAAAGATTTATTAGAACTACTTCAGCACCGGGCAGAGGCCTGGTGTGCATCGAACCTAGTTTCGGTCATCTTTACAACTGATGATTATTGGATCTATGAGCGACTAAAAAGACGTGCCACAGAGCGAATGGTGGTTATGCCAATTAACGATCTGCCGAAACCCCAAGCGATAATGGCACTGCAGAAATACCGACATCGTTACTTTGCAGAAGATGTGGATATATCTATCCTCGAGGAGATATACGATAAAGTCGGGGGTCGTCTCTCCTTTCTAAATCGCGTAGCCAAGTCACGCGATATGCTTACAACGTGTGATCTCATTAAGGAGATCGAAAAGACATGGTTTCTAAACTCTTGCGCCATACTTGGATCTGAAATGGATGATGACGTAATGGATCAGCAAAAATTCTCGGTAAGTTTTTTCTTTCGTTGGTAATGGAATATTCTCCGTGTCCACAGATGTACATGGTATAGTGTAAGATGACGAGCATGGTAGTCACGTGGCACATATGCATGCGTTAGCTTCTGCCTCTAAGTCTGCTTACAAGACCCCCTATATCTCAAGGACTCACTAACATCTGCCACAGTCAGCTTCTATGGTGCTCGCGTTAGCCCTTGTTGACAGAGAAGAGGATATGGAAAAAACCTATGACCAGGAGACGGGACATATTCTCCCGTATTTTCCGATGCATAAGGCGCAAGAAATCATGACTCGAGCGGATTTCATCCGAGAGCTTGACCGATTAAATCTATTTACTATAAGCAGCGAAGCTCACGTACGTGCCAGCTCCGTGCCTATGCAACGCGCATTCAAGGAAATATGTAGCGAGCCCGGGTTTCGACAATTCCTTCAAGATACTCTGGACCGTATCGCGGCTATTGAGAGTTTAGGCCGTACAAGAGAATTGGTTGCAAAAGACTTAGTCCTTGGCGGAAAGTACCGTATTTCGAGTCCCCTCAGCCTAGATGGCAGGGTCGAGGTTCGATTAGAACAAGACAAGAAAGACTAAGGATTGGGAGAATTCCAGTGTTGTTATTCAACTACCATGGTATGCAATCGTCAGCTGTAGGGCCGGCTTTTCTTTTGTTGATTGAAATGGGCATAGATTTTATACCAGTACTGTACCATATTACGCACTAATGTCTGTACATATTTCATCTGTATGCCATGTCCTATCTGTAATTTCCAACCGAGTTGGGATATATATTGCTGCTTAGCATCTCACAGAGGCAGTCACGCGATTCTTTATAATCCATAGTTCTATATAATCTATAGTTAGAAATCGGATCGATATTTTATCTTTCGATATCTATGAAGTTAAGCATTGCAATATATACAAACACCTTACACCCAAATACCAATATTGAATGCTGTATAGCAGTTATTCCGAATGTCTACGAGTACCTAGGGATACCTGCAAAACGATAAGGGTACTGGATAGCTTCATAAATTCAAGAGTTGTTACAGTTTACGTAGGCATACTTACCAATCATAAAGCGTGTTATTTTAGGAATTTGACCATACGCGTGAGTTCCTATTTATCTTGTAATCTGATTTCCGCACCTTTACCATATCGGATGCTTGAGAATCTTTACTTGACGGTACCGACAATAGATCCTGTATCATGTTCTCTGGAGCTAGTTCACTTAAAAAACTTCCAATGATATATTGCTGCCTTGTTGAGAGAATGAATAAATCATGTGTATTAAGCTTAAAGAGAGCTTATATTGGAAGATTGATGTCGAGGAGGTTTGTCACACTTAAAACTTTTGGGTCTATTATGTATAGTAACTAGTTGAGAATGAATTCGCATTGATATTGTATGGCTACAGTCATGGAAATGAGCAACACATTTATCTAAGGTAAATACAAAGGTAACCAGACATATTGCATGTCGTTTTGGTGATGTGTACTACGCTACATGTTTGACTAAGAAAATGATATAAAGTATTGGCCACATTTTTAGTCGAATAATATTAGGAGTCTATTGGAAGATATGGGCGTTAGAGTAGTCGAAATTACACCGCCAACAGTGGCTACAGTAAAAGATTGATGATGGAATCATATATAAAAAGGGGAAAGGGGAAAGGGGTCTTACGGATTAAGCGGTTAATAATATATAAATGCATATATGCGTATACTATACAACTAGGTAGGCTAATGTACATACTAAAGGCGGATGCTGCCTTGAGTTGCATGACACAGCCATAACGCCACACCGTCACACAGCCACAGCCACACCCCTCTCTGAAACTCTGTGAAACCCTTGCTTTAGGTAGCGTGCGTGCCTGCCTACCTATGTATGTACCTTTTAGCGTGCCAAGAAGGCTGCGGTTACCTAGGCAAAGGCCAAAGTGGGATTGCTTTATGACGCACCATTTCTGCTTTCTCCCACCATACAACAAACCGCAAAGAAAACAAGATCTGGCGTTAACCGCGCCGCGACGAACTCCCCGTTTGTACCAAATTTGGGCTTGTTCTTCAATCGCTTTATGATAAGTCGTTCTCTTCTTGAACAATTTAATTTTTCTATTAGTTGAGATCACCCTTCTAGGCATAAAGGGACAACATGTTTGTCCTCAAAAATGGTGAGTGATACCCCTCGTCGCTGAGCTGCTAGCCTTACTGCCTTACTGCCTTACTGCCTCACTGCCTCACTGCCTCACTGCAGATACATCTTTGCTGCAAACCTCAATAGTTATGGTTTCCTTTATTGCTAGGATATGAATATCCGATATGTGACTAACGTTATTATATGATAGTTGGCAAGCTTATCTTCGGCACTAGTAGTCAAGAATCTATGATCGAGTTGCCCCAGGGTCAACTCTACCTTGTTCGACCACTATCGCCTAAAGGATACTCTGAGCTGATTTTCAAGGACGCTACCGCTCGAATTCGTCGTACTGGCCAAGACTTCCAGTACCAGCTCGTCGTACAAAGAGTTTACGAAGAGGGTGAAGCCGAGTTAGCGGACGACGAAGGCGAAGACGAGGAGCTTAACGCACTGGCAGCTGAGCGTGACGAGAAGACTTTTTTACTCGACGAGGCTCTCCACTTCCGCTTTGAGGGTAGGGAAGGATCAGAGAAGGTTCTTGCTTGGAAGGACTTGAGCGGAGACGTTGGCGACGTTTACGAATTCGTCTGCGATCCCTCGACTAAATCCGCCCAGGTTGAGGCATTCGAGCGAATCGCAAGGCAGTGTCAGTACGAGCGCAAATACCGAAAACCTCACTCTACTGCCTCTGCGGCCGACCTCCAACAGTTTGTTTTTGAAGAGCAGCCCATTCCTCAGGCTAGTCCTATCCATAGCCCTACGCTCGCAAGATCAATCGAATCCTCCGACGCTATGTTCCAATTAAAGAACGAAGCTAACGTCGGTACTAAGCGCGACAGTATACCATCCGCAGCTTCTGTACTTGCGGAGCCTGAGCCTGAGATCTACGAAAAAGAAGTTGAGACACAACATGTTAAGCAGGCAGGGCCCCCGGAACCTCCAGCCCAACCCGAACCGCTGGAGATTTTTGCGATGGAGATCGGAGAACTGCACTTCTTCGATTTCCCTTCCGGCGCATTTGTTCTCCAGGACTCATCCGTGACAGCTCAAGTGTCGGATATTGGTCATTGGAACTACTGGCTGCATATTGCTAGTTCAGATCGCCAGTGGCTTGGTATTCCGGTCGTTGCTGATATTAACCCGGTGTTCAACTTTGAGTTTCTATCTTTTATCTTCAACCAATTTACCGAGGATGGCTCTGCTTATTCCTGGCTATTGAGATTCAAGGACAACAAGACCCTTGAAAGATTCCAGGATGGTCTAATGAGAGCACTCTGGGAACAGCTGAATGAAGTCAAGTGGACTAAGGTCAAGGAACAGGACCGACAATATGTCTTAGATGCTTTCGAGGATCTGAATATGGAGGATGCGCCGATAGAAGAAGAAGAGGAAGAAGAACCAGAAATCGAAGAACCTGAAGAGGATGATGCGCCGCAGAGCGAACATTATGATAGCGATGAGGAACAAGACGATGTCGAGACTCAACCCAAGGATCCTCATACGAATTCCGCGTTGGCTGTTGGGTACAAGCACGATCGTTCCTTTGTCGTTAGAGGTCCTAGAATTGGCGTATTCAAGCATACTCCTAAAAACCACTTGGAATTCACAACCAATATCTCCAAGGTCGAAACTCCAAATGGCAAATCCTTCGTTCCCAAGAAAGTCATGTTACACAATGAGGATCGCAATTTAATTCTACAGAACGACACAGATCCCAATAAACTTTATCGCATGGATCTCGAGTACGGAAAAGTCGTTGATGAATGGAATGTTCATGACGACATTCCTGTTGTCACGTTTGCGCCGGAAAACAAATTTGCGCAGATGACCCACGAACCTACTTTCCTTGGTATTTCTCGCAACGCCTTATTCCGGGTTGACCCTCGTCTGTCCGGAAACAAGCTAGTAGACTCTCAGCTCAAGCAATACGTGTCAAAGAATGATTTCTCTGCAGTATCTACTACAGAAAAAGGATACGTAGCCGTTGCCTCCAACAAGGGTGACATCCGACTTTTTGATCGCCTGGGTATTAACGCGAAGACTGTAATCCCGGCCCTGGGCGAGCCTATCATTGGTCTCGATGTGTCTGCGGACGGTCGTTGGGTGCTTGCAACCTGCCGTACATATCTACTACTCATCGATGCGCTACAAAAATCCGGTAAGAATGAGGGTAAACTTGGCTTTGAGAAGCCATTTGCCGCGGATGCTAAACCTCAACCTCGTCGTCTGGCATTGAATCCCGAGCATGTCGCTCAATTCCATCACGAAACTGGAAAGGGCGTCTCATTCACTCCTGCTCGGTTCAACACAAGCAAGACAAACGGCGAGACATCCATTATCACCGCAACTGGTCCATACATTGTTGACTGGAATCTTGACAAGGTTACTCGTGGCTCAAAGGCGCCATACATCATCAAACGCTACGAGGACACTGTCAAGGCCGATGATTTCAAGTTCGGCACCGACCAGAATGTCATTGTTACTTTACCAAATTGGGTAAACATGGTTGGCAAGCAGCATCTCAAGAAGCCTACAAGAGAGAGTATTGCTGGCGATTTTCAACGGCTGGGCACTCCGAGTCGAAGTTCGGGACGCGTCGGCACACGAGCAAGCGGTCGCTACAAGCTTGGTAAGGATGATGTGGTTAACTCACCTTACTAAGGTTGAGCTTCCGAGCAAATGCCAAATGGATGATTTCGCAATTGAATTATTTGTTGTTCCCAAGTTACACTCGTGTTGAAGGCGAGATCGCACTTTTCCTACAATACATACCCCAGTGGCGTTCGGAAGGAGACGGAAATTGGTGTTTATTCACTCACCTGAGGCGAGCAATTTTTGCTTAAGGTGATACCTGATTCTCACCCCATGATATTGGTGATTTCACCTTAGTTAGGTAGGTGGTAGTTAGTAATTTACTCTATCGATATTCCGTTTGTGAGTATTTCACATTTTGTAGCTTGGTGAACGTTCGGGCTGTCTAGGAGCCGCACTGTATGATTTGACTACAACGTTAGGGATGGTAGGATGATCTACCCGTCTACCCGAACAAATCGTGCTAGTGCCACTATCCCTCGCCTCCTTTAACATAGCAGATATCTATTGCCATCCTTCCATTCCTATAGTGCAACCCTTGGGGATAATTCCTATTGGCCCAATTCCAAGAAAATGTTCGGAAATACGTGGTATAGCTTATACTTCCTTATCTTTGCTAGATTATTGCACGCGTGGCACGTAGAGCGCGGGATTTTCTTGTCAAAGAATATAAGATAGTATGTATGTGGTTAGCTAGGAGTCTCGCTCGGCGAATTACTTATATGAAAGCTCCTGCACGGTGTCATCATACTTACGATAACAACCATAAACGACGTAGGTAGCATTAAATGATTTATGAGTGATGGGGATGGAACATCTATATAGATGGAAAGGGGAGAAGGATAACAGGCTTGTATCTACGTGTATAATGTGGTAGCTTCTGTGACAGCTTGGCGATGCTGCACATAATTCGAAATTACTACGTGCCGAGATGAAATTACCTTGCTACCAGATAATCAGCAATAGGTGACAAAGTTACGAAGTAACCTAGTATTTAGACCGGGATCTCGTGGTAGGGTTGTGGTTGATATACGATGATTTCTAGTAAAAGATCGGACAACTTGCATTCAGCCAAAAATCATATGTACCTAGGCTATGTCGCAACCATACGACGTTGATGATCATACTACGTAGCTAAAACAGGTCCACGGCGTTGTGATAGCTCACTAGAGCTTTTTGTTCTTTGGAGACCAATATCGTGTGAGATGTAGTACCAAATGCGGTGAACCTCTCACCTATTCTTCCCCCTTTTATTGTGTTGCCTACTTGTCTCCGGGTTGGAGATAGGCAATACGTAGGACCCAATATGTTGGTCTACTTCGTCATTATGTTACTGTCACATGTCTCTAGATGTCTCGATGTAACTGTCCCCATCGAGACGTCCCGTGCCGCCGCCGCCGACCCGGTTCGACCGAGTCCCTATTTTAGACGCGCTTATAAGACCACGTTCTCGGGTGAATAACGGATTACGTGCCTTGGAAGATCCCAATGTCGCAGCTATAAGCTTTAAGTCTAGGGATGCATAGACGTAGCATTTGCTCTTCAGTTCCCTGCCCGATTCTAGAGAAAACGTTTACAGGACGATCCTGTGCGCGTCCGTTGGTGACGTGGTGTTTCAAGCGTAACCCATTCCTTACCACTTCTATCCTCCCTTATTTTAATATTTTTCTTCTTTTTGTAGAGCAGTAATTTCCTCACGATGAAGTCGATTCCCTTCTTTCCCGTGGCGGCGTTGCTGCTCGTGGCGCAGATGATCCTCCTGGTCAATGGTATTCCCAACTGTCCATACCCGGGTCCGGCATTCCCAAAGCCGACAGCACTTGCCTCTTCCGATATAATTAAAACAGTGATCGCAAACCTGACGGCGACCTTTGACGCGCGGGGCATGGACCCGAGCACGAACCCAAATGGCACGTCGTGGTCGATTCAAGTGTTCTCTGCGTCCGATCCAGATGAAGACAAGCCCGTATGGAGCCATTATCACACAGCGACGGATCTGCTGGCAGCTGACACTCCCGGTGTGAAAAGTGTCGACGGAAATACCGTGTACCGAATTGGTAGTGTTACAAAAATATTTACTATCCTAACGTTCCTGATCGAGGCCGGAGACACATATTGGAACACACCCGTGACGCAATGGGTCCCAGAGCTCAAGTTGCTAGCCGGAAAGGCGCAATACGACCCTATTATGAATGTTGATTGGGATAGCATTACGCTGCAGGATCTGGCGAGCCATATGGCGGGCATCGTTAGAGATTGTGAGTGCTTTTCGTCGTTCTTACTACAATCTAGAAGTTGGCAGGATGAGGAGTTCGGTAGCAGGGGGGGAGGGGGGGAGGGAATAAAAATATAAAAAGATTACCAAGTTGAGGTGAAACTAATTTGTCAGATGCCATAGAGGGGGAACTGACGCAAGAGCATAACCAAACCGTTCTGCAGTCCCAGGGATTCCCACCAGCGCCTAGGAACGAAACACCAGTATGCGGGGAGGCTATAAAGTGTAATCGTGCCCGTAAGTCAACAGCCATAAAGTTCCAGATGCTCCCCCCTATACGAGAAAAGAGGAATAGTGCCCGGGAAGAAAGAAAAGAAAAACATAGGAGGAAATTAGCAGAAAGGCGTGTCAAAATATCTAACGGGATTCTTTCTAGAATTTTTCTCTGGATTAGCCAGCGTCCCTCCGTCTTTTTCGCCATCATGGACAGCAGGATATTCGAATGCGGGATATCAAATATTATCTTACGCTCTCGAAGCCATCACGAATAAGCGATACGCGGCGATGCTCCAGACCGACGTTATCAACAAGCTCCAGCTCAAGAACACTTTCTACCAGAAACCTAACGACAAGCTCGGCGTCATCCCCCAAGGCCAAGAAGCCATGTGGGCGTTTAGTATCGGCGAGGCGAGCCCGTATGTTTCTCCTGGTCCTATTTTCATCCTCCTTATTGATGATACTATACTAATGCTGAAGCGAAGAACTGGGAATATGTACTCCTCGGTAGGCGACCTGTCGCGTCTCGGTCGAGCTATCTTTCGGCATACGCTCTTACCGCCGGCGCAAACGCGGCGGTGGCTCAAGCCTACGGCGCTCACAGCTGACATCCACGAGGGGATTAGTTCGCCTTGGGGTATCCGGCGCATCCCGCTAAACGACGGCAGCCGAGTGGTCGACGCGTACAGCAAGGCCGGTAGCATCAACGTGTACATGTCGCTGCTGGTGCTACTGCCCGACTACGACGTCGGCATCACAGCGCTTCTAGCGGGCGGTTGGCCTGGAAACTCCAACTGGGACATCGCGGACGCGATCGGTGAGGTCCTTCTCCCCGCACTGGAGGAGACCGCGCGCGAACAGGCAGACGCTTCCTACGCGGGCACATACACAGCGGATGACGGCTTAAATAGCAGTTTGGTGCTAAGCACAGACCCGTCGCGCCCGGGCCTCGGAATCGAGAAGTGGATCAGCAATGGCACGGACATGATGCCGATCGCGATACGGTACACGCTGAATTACAACGTGACGGGGCCTGCGATCCGGCTCTACCCCGCGGGGATAGAAACACAACCTCAAGGACCAGAAGGGACTAGGAGGATAGCGTTCAAGGCTGTGGTTGAAAACCTCGATATCACGGACCATACCGGCGATATGTTCTCAACGAATTGCGGTACGTGGGTTGGCCAGACGACGGCCGTGTATGCCGACATGCCGCTCGATCAGTTTGTGTTTACCGTGTCGAGCGATGGTAGGGCGGTTAGTGTTGTGCCGTTGGCGCTGAGGACGAGCCTAAATAAGAATTGATGAAGAGAAATATATAAAGGTCTAAAGGTTATTCGCAATAGTTATGTGTTCTTCAATAAATCTAGATCTACTTCATGATGAAAGATCTAAGTATATCGCTGTGGATGTATCGTCAAGAAAAAAGGATAGGGAATGATAAGAATATGAGACTAAATATACGGCTACCAGTATATTGATAGCTCCTAACCTCCTCGTCCTTGATTGCCTATATTATGCTAAAATCTATCTTCTAAGTAAAGGCCGATAGCCAAGTTGGCAAATGGAATCATTGCTTGGCACTTGCTGTCAGTCTAGACTGAATACCAAGCACAAGAAATAGCCGAGATATCTCAATGTAACCTATTATCCAGTGATTAGGTAAGTCCCCTGAAGAGGACCGAATAGTTCTGGAGAGACGTAGAAAGTAATCGACCGCTTATATCCCGAGTCTTGCTTCAGGCTCACCCAGGCGTGTACCCCACGTCCCTGGTCTAGGGGTCGGCGTCGTGCCGCGTTTATGACTTTCTTGTATCTCTCTTTGCAAACAGGAGAAGCAGATACCTCGTCCAAGTAGCGTTCAACTCGCGCCTGGGCATCAGCGTCGTTTTCCGCGTAGCCGTGAATGGGAAAATGAACAGTGCCCACGGGCTGGTTCGGCCTCTTGCTGGTAAACGCGAAACAGGACACTACCGGGGTCGAGGAATACGGCCCATGTGACCCATTCGCCATCGACTCGCAGAACCTCTGGGTCTCGAACCACGTTGCGTCTGGACAGATACAGGTATGTTTATTCACGATGGTGGATGCGGTTGCGTCTTGATGTAAGATGTACACTTTGACGCGAGCCTCTTCCTGGTTTGGGGAGAGGTCAAGTGAGAAGTAACCGATAGAATCGCCAGGAGTCATAATGCTCTTTACGAAGACCCACGCATCCCCTAGGCCGAGATGCTCGAACGCGTCACCTGTCGCAGAGAGAACATTGTCTTTACCAGATGCAGATGGGTTAAGATAAACCTTCCATTCCAGTCCCTTTTTTGTCGATGCGCACCTATGCCAGGCGGCAAATACCCCGTTTGGCTCATCAGGCAAGAAAAGGTCCTGGATAAGGTTATAGCTGTCTAGAGAGACTCTTGCGTTGTACTTAGCTGCAATGTCTGAATTCAGGAGACGCGCACTCTCCTGAGACCGTACCAAGCTAATCTCCTCTGACTGGGCTTCGATTAAAAAGCGCAGCTGCGCGTCCCCGGTGTCTCGATCTAACTGGACCGAATACTCAAATGGGGAATGGTCGCAACTGACGTTGGAAATCCATCCCGTCGTATCAAGTTCTTTGGGTACTGGGTTGTGGCCCCAACCTTTCGTTGTAAAGGCCAGAGCCTCGAGCAGTTGATCTTTGGCTATTACATCTTGCTCGATAGCTTGGGAGAGATTTGATAATTGTTGGCTAGCCTCCTCGAAGTAAGTCCCGCTGATGGTTGGATCCATAACAGTAGGCTTTGTTTTCTTGGCTTGTTTAGATATTGTATGTCTCTGGCTGTGTAGCGGTCTAATCAGTTAAGATGATGTCGAGGCCCATCAGATGGCTACTTGAAACGTTCTTAGCTACAAATATATATACAGATCACCTTTAAGGAGGTTTGTTTTTCGATTAGCTCTAAGCGATAGGTTATTTAAACCGGACTCAAACACAGTCACAGTATTAGCAGAAGCGTTACTAAAAGGCTACTTGTAGTTATATGGCGAGCTCCTTCTTCTAGTGAATCTCTCGCGACAGCGATGATTATAACAGAGTTGGAGTTGGAACCACACTTAGTGCCCAGCAGTGCCCAAGGGAAAACCTGATTCGGACGACTTTTGGTTGACCACAATGTGATTCGAACCCAGAATTTCTCGCGATTATACTAGTTACCTGAAATATCAAAGTCGCAGCAAAGCGCCTTCGTGTGGAGATGTTACATAAATCAAACTGGCGTCTATCTTTTTCAAAACAGCCTTTGTGTAATATCTAGGACTTAGTTATATAAAGTTTGGTATTTATTACTTTCACAATTCCTCTCGGAGCGCTTACGACTGGACCGTTACTAATTTGGAAATATACGGTTGTCAGCGCGGAAATCATTAACATAAGGTAACTTGCAAGATGCTCCTACACGTTCCTACTCATTGATCCGACATTGAATAAGTACTGGGCAGTCTTCATTCTCATAGACAAAGTCATAGGTCAACTAATTATTATTATGCCTCGGAAATATGAATTTTCTAGGGCAACTCGAGTATTAGGGTTGGTTAAGTCTGAAGGCAACCTCTACTTATTATATTGAGAGCACCCGATAAGCTGAAGAGGACCAAGTCGTAAGAGCAGCAATTCCGCGAATTTAGTCGTCATATCTTAATTTTTACCCCCTAATGCTCCCCTCCTTTTCACAATACACATTATCATGTACCTAGGTACCTGTCACATGTCTTTTTCAAGATAGTTCACGAAGGCTTCAATGTTCATATGGGTTTCACGTACGTGATATGCTACATACCTAGGTAGGTAGAGTTATAAATTCAGAATTATAAATAATTACTATCATTCAGGCAATATGATAACTGTACGAACTTTTGAAAATGGTACTATGCACATTTATACGAACCAGTGTCCCAAGGCTCCGTTGCCGAATATCTACCAATCCCATAAACTCCGTCCCAGACCTTGTCTTTATCATATGCCTTCCGTTTTCTTCGTCGCCCTATCTCATCGTCATCATCTATGGATTCAACCTCAAGCAAATATGCCCGCTTCAATGATCTAGGCTTAGGTGACATTGACTATTAATATCATCAATAGCCCACCGAGTAAGTATTATCCCATACATTATCATAAGCAGTTGTTTCTAGTCAATCGATAATCGACCCGACCAACTCCCCCCCCCCCCTCCTTCCTTTATTTCAGTAAACCAAGGGCGCCACCTGATGGAGCAGCTGCACTAGTAGCAGCCTTGACACTCTCAAATACTCCCGATAATGCGCGACCAACATCGCTGGTTAGCATCGGCTTCGCGTCTGGGCCAGCCTTACTGTCAACCCCGTGGCTATGGGCGCTGCTAACTTTGGTTAACTCGTTAACAAAGCTTTGACCCCACCACGCTGATGTGTATTTGAAGACATATCTCTCCAACTTGCGGTAATTGGCTTCGCGCATCTCGGGGGACATGGTAACTGCGTCATGGATCGCATTGGCAAGCTCTTCTGTGTTCCAAGGGTTCACAATCAGACTGCCGTTCAACGATTGGGCAGCGCCGGTAAACTCGGAGAGGATCATAACACCGTGGCGGTTTTTCTGAGTTGCAATGTATTCGTACGACACAAGGTTCATCCCGTCTCGCGTAGAACTTACGAGGCAGACATCCGAAACCGCATATAGGGCGCACAGTTCGTCAAACTGGACACTTTGATGCAAGAAATGGATGGGCATGAACTCGACCGTTCCAAACCGACCATTGATCCTTCCTACTAACTCATTGACGACCGCTCTAAGATTCTGATACTCTTCGACGTCTTGTCTTGACGGCACGGCCACTTGCACAAGAACGATCTTGCCGATCCACTCTGGATGTTCTGTCAAGAACACTTCAAGAGCGTGTAGCTTCTGCGGGACACCCTTGATATAGTCAAGACGATCGACACCCACAATCAACTTTACGCCTTCAAATTTTCGAGACAGCGAAGCTATCCGCTCCTGCACCTTTGGCTTCTTCAAACCCTCGACGAATTTATCTGGATCTATTCCGATGGGGAACGCTCCGACCGTTACAAACTTCCCTTTATAGTCGACGCCGTTCGGTGTAGTCGGAGCCTCTAGAATACGCGAGCAGGAGCTAAGGAAGTGGCGAGCATAGTCGTAGGTGTGGAAGCCTATCAGGTCGCACTGCAAAAGGCCTTCGAGTAACGCTTCGCGAACGGGAAGGATGCGGTAGATTTCGCTACTGGGGAACGGGGTGTGGAGGAAGAAGCCGATCTTTACGTCTTTTCGGTCACCCAACTCGTTACGCAGCATTTCAGGTAAGAGCATGAGATGGTAGTCGTGTACCCAGATCAAATCGCCATCTTGAACGTCTTTCAGAACCGTCTTGGCAAACAGCCTATTGACCTCCTTGTAAGCAGCCCAAGCGTTCTCGTCGAAGGTAATCTCGCCGGGATGGTAGTGGAATAGCGGCCAAAGGATCGAGTCTACAAGTCAAAGTCAGCATTAACAGGTAGAAAAGCATTTTCCATAGGACGGATTGGGCATACTCGAGAAGCCATTATAGTGCCTGTCGGCAAGTTCGTCGTCGACGAATATGGGGTGCGCATTATATTGATCCTTGAGTTGCTGCTTTACTACAGGTATCTCGGCTTCGGGGACTTCCAGACCAGGCCAGCCATACCATTGGAAGCTTGTCGTTTTGCTCAGACCGCTCAACCCAGTGACCAGACCTCCGGATGACATAGAGAAGTCGTAGTTTCCCTCATCTTTTCGTTTTATCGTAATTGGAAGACGGTTAGATACCAACAACAGCCGGCGGTCGCCGGTGGAGGAAGACTCGCTTTCGGGCATTATTGTAGTTAATAATATCCCAATCGTTCGTTCACTTGCCAATTATGATATCAGTGAGCAAGAATTGTATCGACGCGGCCGTGCTTTAGAATATGAGGCGGGAGTCGAACACTTAAGATATGAGAGAGGAAAAGCTTGTAAGTGAGCTTGTAAGTGGAAGGCTCTTATGTTTAGCCGCGGCAATGCAAATTCGATCTATGAAGGTCTAAGTAAAAAAGGTGATGCAACATAAGAGCGTCGGAGCACGAGCTGTAAGAAATAAGTGTGATTCGTTCAAAGGCCTAGTGGCGTTTTATTAAATGCGTGATTGACTGATGACGAGAAGTAGCAAGTTCTAATGTTGATAAGGGGAGAAGGGGAAAAGGGAGGGGCCGCAGCGATATGTATGTACATGGAAGTTCGTAGGCGATTCCTTTTTAGGCGGGGATAGTTTTAGATGTATGTACATACCAAGTAAGAGGTATGCACCTATTTACATGTTTAAGCGTGAAATCTGGTTGGGTCAAAGACTTGGTTTGATGCAATCGAGATGCAAGAGCGGCGAAATCCCTCAAGACCCAGCCCCGCCGAGCAGTCAGAGCAAGAGCCTAGCCCGCCAACCCACCTTCTTTGCTTCTCTGCTTCTCTGCTTCTTTGCAGCAAGCCCGCGTCTTAGGGAGCTTTGGTCCGTTACGCTTTGGCCATCTACGTAATTCCAAGTCCTTTTTAGCGGGGTACTGCGGGGTCTCCGGGTAAGATATCAGTTGCTGCTAACATGTTGTATTACGACACTATTAGATGTGCACATCTCCAACATTGAAAAATCGTGAACTTTTAACTTTCAATAGAATTAAAATACCTAGGTACCTAGGTACCTATCTTATAAATCCTTTTAAACTACAACTAAAAGATAACTTGGTTATTTCCGTTTAACTATGCGAAAGGAACTTTGTAACCCATTATATTATATTGTTTTATTAAATCCTAATAAGCAAACTTTATTTATTATTTAACAATTGACAATAAGTACCTACTTACCGTGGTTAATTAAAAACATATTCCTTAATGCGGACCTTTCTTATTGCTTGACTCATGTTTCCGCGGGTTGAAAATATCTCAATTATAGGCCCGATAGATAAGATGGTGTAGATTCTTATGAGGTATGCAATCTAACCGCCGGTAGGGGGATAATGAGCACAAGGAGGTAGGTTACATATGTAGGTAAGTGATAAGAGCATTCGCATTCTTACATGTGATATTGAATCTCAATTCCATGCCCCCAACTACATATAACCATATCGACCATATCAGCTAATGGCTCATTAGTTAGTCTCGAGATATTTCTAGTTTCTAGAATTAAATGTACATGTTATTCCACCCAGCGCCAGCGCCGATTTTACCTTAGCTCCAGGTTCATTCACACACTCATGAGGATTCTCGAAGCTACCATGTTCCATGGATCATGCTCTAATAAATCTCGGTAAAAATTACCCGACATACTTACATGAAATATGAACCACACCTTTGAACTCGTCAAATTCCAAGGTACCGGACATACATTATATAATACATGCGGCCTAGTCCGATCCCCTCATACATGGGTAGATAGGTACCTTAGTTATGTAAGCTAAGTTACCTAGGTACCTATGTAAGCTAACAAGCTTACGTCCTAGCCGTCCAACTTAAAGCTTAATTAAGCCAATCACCTCTTAGGATTCGACCCAATCGAGTGAATTCGGACCCGGGCCTTTCGGACCAAAACCTCCGTATTGCTGCAATGTCAATTGTACTTCGGACGAAGTTTCGAGGCCTATTTTTCTTCCCCGTAGATCTAACTCACCGAGATAAACCATATCTGGATCACAAGTACGACAAATTATCATAAACGACATCTCGTGTGCTTGTTTAAGTTGAAATAAAGACTTGAGAGAATTATCTAACGAGGTGAAAGGGAGATTCCTAGTGTACCGTAACAAAAGAGAAACTCATTATATACCTATTTATATACAGCACAACAGGTACTCTGCCAACTATTCATCTCATCGATCGTCTTGAGCATATTTTGCCTCCGTATGTGCCATCCGATATCCATGATAGTATATTTCAAACTCGAGAGTCGCACTCCCCAAAATCATCCTTACGTTGAAGACACAATCTCTCCATTTCCCCTTCCATTTCCCCTTCTCGGCGGGACTCTTGTAACTCCCCGTATGGGACCATATGACACTCTCGGGGATCACGAAGCTCAATTCGCAGAGTTTCTTAACGCCTGCAGCGATCGAGATAAGCGTTTTGTCTAACTTGGATCGTATGAGAAATCACTTACTATCATCCCTCCTAGTGGGCGCCTTTGGTTGGTCGGAGTAGAGCAAGACTTGAAAGAACTCGCGGACACCTGTACTAGTCCAGCCGATACCGTGTACTGGTTGTACGATATCGATCCACAGTATGCCATTCTCCCGCATCATCTCGCCCTGAAAGTTGTTAGTAGTTAGCAGTTTTTAGCACGAGCTAAGTTTTGGGACACCTACTCTCTTCAACAACCATCTCATCTGGTTGTCTGCTGCATATTTGCCACTGCTATTGTCAAGAAAACGATCCTTCCAAAGGTGTTTCTTCGGGTCAAAGTCTTCCGTAAGAGGAATCCCATAGCTGTATCTTGAGATGCGTGAAACGATAGTCGGTTCCATCTGGGGCGTCAACGGGGGATCGATAGCGTTATAGGGTGGTAGGTCTTTTGCTGCTAGCCAAGGATGAGGCTTTTGCACTTGTTCCAATCCCCACATACACGCACCACGGCATATAGCCGACCAACTGTTCTTGTAAGGAGAATGTATCTTTCACGCTTTATGAGTTTATTGAACTTACGCTCCATCTACTTGGAGAACCCTAACCCCTTCCGAAGTATAGGCATTTTCGAGGCGACTGTGAAGATACTTGCTCTCTCCGAATCCCCCAACTAAGAGGATGGCCTTTGTCCTGTTAGTTATATCCATTCATACCGTGGGAAGAGTTTAGGCAGTTATACCTTCACTTTAAGTCCTCGCCCTTGAACCTCCATCGTCTGGTTTTGAACGAGAGTATCTATTTGACCACAAATATGATCGAAGACGGTGCGCAACATGTTGCTATGTAGTGTATGAGCGCAGGCAACAATCTGACAGGGTTCTTTAGACTCACGCCTTAAGCGGCACGTTGTCGTCAACGATGCCTTCATCCTCGTTATCTTCAACACCTCTTAGGTCTACCGAGTAATCCTTGTTATCGTCACCCATAAATGATCGTTTGATACCAAATTCGAACTCCTTTAGCATCTTCTTCTTGCTCACTTCTTTAATTTGCGAGTATTGCTTTTCTCCAATCAACGCGGCGATGTATTTAACGAATGCTAGATCGAGGAATACTGATCCGCAGAGGTCACCTAGTAGGTGTATTAGTATGTACCTAGGATTAGGTGAAATGATTTTATGGACGCACCGTCCCCAATGGCGCATTCCTCCACTCTCAATGGGTGAATGCTATTTACTTTGTAACTTATTAAATCCTTCAGGATCTGGTTAGAGGTGAAATATTAGGAGACTGGGCTGCAAGCATACCACCGTTCCACCACCAGCGTCACAGACCACGAACGAGTCTCCGGGCTATTGGCGTCAGCAACATACGAAGCATATACAATACTTTCAGCATTAATTGCGAACGCAAGCGGGAAAGCTTACACGAAGTGTATCCTCTTCCGCCTTCCCCCTTAATGTTGCCAAAGCAGCTGCCTCAGGCTCGGTTACCATCGAGATATGAACAGGGAGGCCAGCAGCTCGTGCCGCTTTAACAGTCCTGTCCTTAGCTTGGTGGGACCACATTGCGGGTACTGTTAGTACGACCCGGAGCCGAAATGTGGTCTCCCAATTCTCGTCGTCGATCCGCTTGCGGATGTCTTCTTTTGTATAGGCCCATAGAGCCCGCAAGTAGTCGGAAACTACCTCATCGGCAGTTTTGTTCAACTTGGTAAGAAGAGCATTGCTCTTTTTCACGTCCTCGATTGTCTTAGCATACTTGTGCTCAGGCTCAAGAAGTATCTTCATCCAACGAAAGCTGTCCTCTCTCATTGTAACCTCGTATCCCCAGTTGCTAACTTGGCCATTTCGATACGATATGACTGATGGAACTTTTTCAGCATTCGCGTTGACGGCTTGTGGGTTTGTCCAATCAGTGATAAGCCGTATCTTCTTCTGGCCCTCGTTTATAGCCCAGCAAACTCCCGAGTGCCTAAACATTGAGTCATTAGCAAATCACCCACCAAATATATTTCGGCATGGACAACTAACGTTGTTCCAAAGTCTATACCGACAACTATCTCTGGACCAACCAAGTGAACGGATGTGGCTGCTGTAGAAACAAGCGAACTAAAAGCAGTAGATCTAACAACAACAGAACTACTATTCCGAAAACTCATTGTAATTGACGATCCAAAGACAAGATACTAAAACTATGTATCCGATGAGAAACATGAGAATATTTCGAACTCAGCATCAAGTGAGTTACATCGAGTAACAACGAGTTCTCCAGAGGTCTATTTAGGACTTTCTAGGCTAGATCTACTCAAGCTTTGGTGGAAGACCCCAAGTAAGCCTATCAGCTAAACTAGCTAGGGTCAGTCGAGGCACATGTTAGATAGTAACCGGAGGGTGGCCAGTCATCAATCCTCCAAAAGCAACACCTTCAGCAATGCGCCGCTGCCCCCGAAGCCGGCCTAACCCCGTGTTCCAGGGAATATCATGGCATATCATACCAAATTTAGGAATAATTACGACTTAATTGGGAGCATCTGAGTGAAAAGTAACGATGTGAGTCTAGTTGATGCCACCGTAATATAAGGAGGCCTGTTACTCCAACAGAGCATCCTAGCTCTAATAGGTCTGAATCACACAACCCAGAATGCTCCCCAATAAGAGAAAAGTGCAGCTTTAGATAAACCAATAAACATTATCAGCTCGTTACATCGAGCGTAGAGGCACTTATATAACTATTGATTAAACTTGCAAGGTAGACAATCCGCCTGCACTGCCTGCCACACTCAGACAGCTTTGCATGGGAATACACAGTATGAGACTGAAAAGTTGTTATGTTTAGCTTAAATGTCCTACGTGCTAATATCGAATATTGATAAAGTGAATTGTGTTTTGTTGTGTTCTATTATTCTAGTCCTTTGCTATGTGAAGTTCTCCAGTTGGCAGGAATAAACCATGGACAGCCCAACAGATTCGCCGCTATTCGACAACTCTCCTCCACTGCCTCAACTTGGGCTTCCCATGATTGTAGTGATGGGCGTAACTGGGTCGGGAAAGAGTTATTTCATCAATAAGCTCGCAGGTCTCCCTGCAGTCGCAGAAGGGTCTCAATTGGACTCATGTAAGTATCGTTGTCCAGGGAGGTTTTCTGAGAGCTAATTCCACGCTCGGCATAGGTACACAGCGATGTGAGGTGGTTCCCGTCTCAATTGGAAGCACTCGGACTCTTCTCATCGATACGCCTGGTTTTGATGATACCGGCCGTACAGACTCGGATATCCTGACTGAGATCGCAAGACTGCTTGCCAGCCAGTACACTCTCGGTTTTCAGTTAAAGGGGATCATCTATGTCCACCGCATTACGGATAACCGTTATACAGGCTCGGCCGTTAAAACGTTCGAGATTTTTAGGCGAATCTGTGGAGACGAGGCGATGAAGAACGTAGTTCTTATTACCAGTCGCTGAAACGAAGTTGACGAACCGACTGGGGCTAGCCGGGAGCGCCAACTTCGCGAGAAATTCGTGAGTAATTTTTGAAATCATATATCATCTCCTATACATGGCTTCAAGTTGAAGTGGCTCAATTTGTGATACAGCTACTAATTCTAAATGTCATAATAGTGGGCTTACATGCTTGGTCGAGGCTCATGTATGAATCGCTTTCACGGCGATCGCGATTCAGCTCGGACCATTGCTGCCCAGCTACTTATCAAAGAAACAGTCACCTTGAAGCTCCAGGAAGAAATGGTCAATGATGGCATGCAATTAAATGAAACAACTGCTGGCTCATATGTCAGCGACGGCCTCGAAGACCTAAAAGCAAAATACGAGAGAGAATTGCAAGCCCTCGAGGATCTTCGAAGAGAGCTCCAAGAGAGCGATAGAATGATGAAGCGCCAAGTGCAATTGGACATACAGCGTGAGAGGGACCGGCTCAAAAGCGCTGAACAGCAACAGGTGAGTCTTGGACGGGACATCGCGAGGGAAGTCCAAGAGGAAATTCGGAAGGAGACTAAAAGGCAAAGGTTCGTCAGAGGGCTCAATAAAGCCCTTCCGTTCGCCCCAATCGCTATCAATATACTGCTTCTTTTTGTCGGCGTGCCCCCAGGCGTAGGCGATTTGTTTACTTCTTGGATAGGGGGACTGCTTGCTGGGGACTCATCTGGCTAGGACAACTACTAATTGTATAGAATATTTGTATAATACACTTCCATCACAATTTAAATTTACTTCAACGTGCTCCATTTGCCAGGCCTTGGAATACGCATAATATTTGAATTGCAAGATAATACGGCTCAAGTTAGACTACTTTGTTAACTAGATAATAGTCTAAAGGGCTGTGGTGAATCTGACGCATAACTACCTAAGGTAGTTTCATTCCTTAAAGTAAATATTGATTCTAGCCCCGGTTAGAATACCTCGTGTTCCAAGCACGGTGTAAAGTCCGATGAAACTTGCCTCATCCGTCTTTGCGTCTTACTTACATATCCAGAAGCGCCTGCTACCCCCCTTGTCCAGGAATGGAGGGAGATTAAGATAAAAAAGGAAGATAGGCTTACAAGTCCTAATTATATAGCGAATAGTGATAGTTAGCACCTAGTTTAGGATTCCATCACAAAACAGTAGCATCGCAGGGTTTAATTATATGGCATTGTCTAGGCCTCTACGGGTGGTGGGTGGTGGACTAAGATCATCCGTTGCATACGTTGGGGTATAGGCAGATTGACTTAACTAATGTCCAGCTCCATGAAGGCTTTGTGGGTGGAATAGACACATACCGAGAGTACGGCGAAATATCATACGCCTCTAAGCTGGCCGGCATCCTAGGTGGTTAAGACTGACTGTTCTCGATTCAGTTCTTACGCACCCGTCAGAATTAACCCTTTGAGAATTCGTCGCTGCCAATTTTTCAACGCTCTAAGTTATATTTCTGTTCCCATATTTCACCCATCCCTTATAGAAATTTACACCTTTCATGTCAAGTATGAATCGGGCGGTCCATTCACGAGACATGCAAGGATATGACAGCCTTGAAGAAAGTGATGAAAACAATCAAGGCCCAGGAATCCCTCCTCGACCTGGTAACAAGTTGACTAGAAAAGGACTGAGAAGAATTAACAATGATGAGATAGCCACGGGGAGAGGATCAAACGACGGATTTATCGTGGAAGAAATAAGTATGCTTGTGAGGGTTTTATTCTTCTTCTCGATACTAACGTACCTTGGGGAACCTAGCTCATTTACCAGGGAATGGCCAAGGCCAGCGAAACCAACCTAAGCATGGTAGTCGTGATACTACTGCACAGGGTACTGGAATTTCATTTACAGATTTCCGTGGTGTAAGTCGACTGAAGCTTTCTGGGTGATTTGGTGCTAAATACTGTCGGAACTAGATGGTTGACCGTCTTAATCGGGGTGGTCCCTCTCCAGAAGAACAAACGTGTGACGAACGTTTTGATAGACTAGAAGCAAAGTACTACCAAGCCAAGGAAAAGAACAAAAAACAACAGATAGAAATGGAGCATCTGCACGACCTGGTCCAAGCGTTAGATGAGTCCAACCAGATCATTAAGAGACGCAACGATAAGCTCCAAGGCTACGTAGACAATAAAGAAGCAGCTGTAGGGTATCAGGAGTCCGACGAAGCGATCACTTCCAAGTTCCGCAGCTTATACCATCAGATTAGAACGTGGGCGAACAAGTTCTGCGTGAACAGCGACAAGCCGATCAAGCTAGGGTTTCCTGATGAAGAGCAGTTCCGACTTCTACAACGAGTGCTACCGATGATGAGCAACGTTGACGACTGGGCTACCTGTGTCTCTGATAGCAAGCGGCGACGTAAGTTCGTCCGCGGCTGGGTGACTCTTAATGTTACCGAGACCATGTTTCGAACACTGCCATCCAAAAATTACCAAGTAAGCATTTTCGCTCAGATTCAAGCTTCCAAGTCCTTTGAAATGCTAACTGGTACTTTAAACCCTATAGTGGGATTCTGGTACCGACTATTGGATTCCGGAACAAACTCGTCGGGGACTGGTAGATGTAGAGCGAGACCTGTTGAACTCAGGTTAGTCCGAATGACTATTCCAGATAGCCGCAGAATGCAAACGTGAACGCTAATACAACGCAATATTATCAGGACATGCCATAACATTGAGTAGTTTTCACCAATGGCGCGCTGTTACAATGGCGCTCCTCGCCAAGAAGTATCCCGACTTCACCGAGGAAGATGTTATGATAGAAAACGCAGCATCCGTGCTCAAAGTAATCAATCCCCTAGGACACGAGCGTGATACAACCCAGCGGCTCATCGAAAATGTGTACAAGCCGGCGCTAGAACTCTCTCGCCTGCTCCGGCGCCAACGTGCCTCATGGTCAGTACGTTTCCCAGCTACCAGACAACAGCCTGTACCGGGCGGTAATAGTGCTGCGATGCCCATCGCTTTGAGGGCTATCTTTGATGATGGCGTCATGAAAGATATGGATCTAGACAAGGAAGAAACACCGTCATCAGATCAATATTGTCATAAGTACGTCGAGATCATTGTCGGTCCGGCGCTATTCAAGAGCGGAAATATTGATGGGGAGCAATATGACATGGAGAATGTGATGGAAAAGGCTGAAGTATCTTGTGCTCCAGTCCCGAGCTTGACTTCTGGGTGAAGACCGTTCTTTAGATGAGACCAATGAGATTAGCATGCAATTTTCAACTAGACTTATGTGTACTCAATTTGCATCACTTTCATTAATTCAAAAGATATACAATTTTGCTTTAAGACCGTCGGTATGATTGTTTTTGTATTAAGTATTAAGTATTATTTATTTGAATGTCGTGCTGTGGATACCCCCTATTCTTGCGGCATTCCAATGTCGCCCGTGTATTTTTCTTATGCACTCATTTGTATTGGTTCATCACTCGTTTCATAGTTAGTAAATATTTATCAGCTGTACTCTTTTCAAGATACTTTAATATTAAAGTGCGTAAAAATGCAAGGTCTTTTACAATTTCGTTGTTGCTCCCTATGTAACAAACTAGTATTCTTTAAGTATCTTTACTGTACAATAAGGCAAAAAAATAAACGTTAAAAATATAAACGCGTAAAATTGCGTATATTATTTTTTACCCACCCTTATTTTTCAATAATGGCTCCTATACCACCACTTAGTTTTAAAAGGCTTAAAAAGCATTTATTTCCTGTTGGGATAACGGTCACGTGACCTCGTCACATGACCAGGGTTATGCCCACACACACCGCCCACGCACAGCCCACGCATTTGTACAATAGATATCTTTCCCCACTCGGGGGAACCCCTCCTCTCTTACCTTAGTACAACCAATCAGAACACGATCGTTATTTGCATTCCCCTCCATATTATTACGTAATACATAGTCAATCCAACATTTCCTTATAAAAAGATAAGGATTAAATTTATATTCGAAATAAGCCTTTTAACCAAGTAAATTAAGGCTATAAAAGGCATTTTAACTTAAAGCTTATATTAAATAAATATCCGATATAAGATTTAAAAATTAACCCTTTTACACCCCGACCGAAAGCGTTATTATAAACTTAAATTATAAAATAAAAGGCATATTATTTAACTTATCGGTAAAAACTTTTTCGTTTTGTTTTTTTAGCTTTTTTTTAAGATTAATTTAAAAGTTTATAATCGTATTATTATAACGTAACTTTAAAAATAAAGCATAATACATTATAAAACGTTTTATAAATTAAAATTATTATAAAAATATGTTAATAAACGCTTGGCTTTTACCCGGCAACATATAAAAAAACCTCTTTTATATTAAAAACGTTAATTTTTCTCGAATAAGTTAACGGTAGCCCGAAGCGATGGCGAAAGGTAAATGTGGGTGTTTTATTAAAAAATACGTCATTTTTTAAAATAACCTACTTAACTTTATTTATATATAATTTACCGAAATTTTAATTTTAAAGCAAAAGATTATATAAAGAAAATATTTAATTAAAAAATAAGTTAACGAAACATTTTTAAATATTTTAAAGTATGTTTAAGTAAAAAAAAACGGTTTTTATTAATCGATTTATATAACAATTTTAATATTAAACATACCGGGATTATAAGCTTTATTATTTTAAAAATTTTACAAAAAATCTTTTTATAAATGTGTAAGAAAAATAATATATTTATTATAAATAACGCATTTATTTATAAAGCTTATATAGTTATAAATTAATTGCGTAAATAATGAATTAATGTTAGTGTATTAAATGACTTTAACTTTAATTATATGATTATATTTTTAATATAAATATTATTTATAATTGTATACATCTATTTTATATAATATAATTTACTTTTAATATAAATCATTTTTTTTTATCATTAATTATTGAACTGGTGCTGGTGTATCAGGTGACCTTGATCCTGATCATGTGATTATATTCTTAGTATAAGTACCATTTATGGTCGCACACACCCATTTTACATAGTATCATCCACTTTTAATACAAGTCATTCCTTTTCATCATTAGTTTCATCATCTAAAAGTCCTTGATATCAGGTCTAATAAGGCTTGATCCAAGGCCAAGACGTCTAAGTCTTGTTCATTATCATTTAAAAATCTTTAATATCAAGTTTAATAAAGCTTGATTTAAGGTTAAAACGTTTAAGTTTTATTTAATAGCAACTTTTAACAATTTAAACCCGTAACACCAGTTTTAAAAAAACCGTTATTATCGTCGAAAATGCTTTATCGTAACTTGATTAATAATTACCACAAAGCTTACGATATATCAATCAATAGCTTATAAAGCCCACGATAACTTCATCGATACTTTTAACTAATAACTTAAATATAAGCTAAATAACCTAATTAAACAATTTAAGCCTTATATCAGTCATATCAGCTAATTTAAAGATATTTTACTTATTAATTAATTTAATTATATTTTAATATATTAATTAATATATACGATATAATATAACTTTATTAAAAGCTTTATTAAAAACCTTATTTATAACTTTATTAATAACTTTAACGATTACGTTACTTATTAATTAAGTTAATACGATTTTTAAAATACCGATATTTTTATACTTTAAATCGAAATATAAAATATAATACGATTTAAAAAGTATTATTATATTAAGATTTAATTATAAGTTAATTTTAAAATATGTAAAAACCATAGCGTATCTTAATTAATCAAATATTAAAAAATAAAAAGTAGTTTTATTAAATGCGTAAAAAGATTATAAAGATAAAGTTAATAAAAATACTAGTAATTATCACGTTTAAAGTTATGTTTTAAGTTATTTAAAAATAATATATGATGTTTTTTAAGTTATATTATACTTAATATATAAAACGATTAATTATAAAAAGTTAATAATAAAAAAAGTAAAGGCTTAATTAATTAATTAATTAATAAGTTATTAAGTTTATTATAAAAGAAGTAAGTTAATTAATTAATTAATAAATCACCAGGTTTATTATAAAGGAAGTAAAAGCTTAATTAATATTAAAGCTTATTTAAATTAATATTAAAATATTAAAAAAAGTAAATAACTTAATTACAAGGGTTATTTACGAGGGTTATACGATATTAAAATAAGAAAAAAAATGAGATTAATTAAGTTTATTATAAAAAAGATAAAGTTATACGATAATTTTTATACCACGATTTATATATATATTTAATTTAATAATAAATATTATAATTAAACCCGTTATTATATAATTTTATATGGTTAAAAGATATGATTTAATGATATAAAATATTTAATTAATAAATCTTAGTTAAATTGGTTAAATTATACGGTATATAAATTTATTTAAAATATAATTTAAAACTTGATAATATTTAAAATATTAAAAAAGTTATATTATAAAGTTGTATTATAAAGTTATACCATAAGGTTGATAATTAAAAGTTTTAATAACTTTAATAGTTTAAACAATGTGAAATTTTTTTTTTAAAGCTTAAGATTTAATCCCCACTTGTATTGTTTTATTTCTTTTTTTTTTAAGTCTTAACCCTTATTTCGTAAGTCGAATTTAATCTCGTGGCTTTAATAAAATTCAAAGGGAGGTTATAAATTAATGTTAATGTATTAAATAACTTTAACTTTAATTATATGATTATATTTTTAATATAAATACCATTTATAATCGTATATATTCATTTTATATAATATCATTTATTTTTAATATAAATCATTTTTTTTCATCATTAATCATTATTTAAAAGTCTTTGATATCAAATTTAATAAAGTTTAATTTAAGGTTAAAACGTTTAAATCTTATTTAATAAATTAAATAAAAAAGGGTTACTTTAATAAATTAACCTTTATATTCACTTAATTTTAACCTTATTAAAAACTTTTAAAAAGTTTTTAAAAATAAAATTTGTTTTAAACATCTTAAATTATTATTAATGTTTTTAAATATTACCTCATTAAATTTACTTACACGTATAACGTTAAAAGTATAAGATAAATTCGAGGAGGAAATGTTAAATAAATTAACCTTAATTATATTAAAGAAATTAACTATTGTTATTAAGGTAAAAGGTTAATATATTAAATATTAATTAAATAATATATATATTATATTAAAATCTTATTTTTAAACTATTTATTCTTATTATTATTAAAAAATTAAATGCAAATTAATTATATAATTGATTATTAAAATAAAAAGGTGGTGGTATAATAAAAGAGTAATAACGGGGTAAAAAAAACTTTTAACGTTTATTTTTTCGAGTTATTATACTCTTATTACTATAGGCTTATTTGCGTAATATTTTAAATGAAAAATAAGAATTCAATTCCCCGAAGAACGTAATTGTTAGTTGTTACTCATAAGTTTACCCTCGGTCCGAATCTTTCCTTGTCATTACTATTGTCGATTTATTCGGCAACTTCGTGACTTCTTTAGTCTTGGTAACCACTTCAAGATATATATACATCCCTAAAAGAGGTAAATACAAAGAATTATAGACCTTTATACGACTTAAAACTGGGTACTCTAAGTTTAAATGGCATTAATCCATTGTTACAATAGCCTATCCCAAGGGTTTCATTAGAGAATATGTCACAAGCGGATAGACGCAGTATAGCAATTATAGTCCTAAAGGTGTATGTAAATTTTTAATGTTTTAGCGGTATGAATCCTGTAGGATTTACCATACTAGATTTGGTAGATTTCTTCTCCTAAAATATAGATGTTCTCATGCTACTATATTAATCTACCGCTGATACCTAAGGTAGATACCAATCATCCAAATAATAAAAGCGCAAAGTTATCGCAGACTTAGTATATTTTATGCTTGTTAGGCATGCTTGGCAAACACGTGTTGAGCATGCTGATGGTGGTGTGGTATGGTTACAACGAAGCATCCCACTCGCTGCGTACCTACATATATATATGTAGGTTGGGTTGGTAAAGACTTCATAGCTTCGGATGATTGCAGCGTCGATCATCTGAAATGACGCAAAAAAACGTTGAAAGTGAATTTTAAAACTTAATAAGACTAACATACATCCATGCCTAATTTTGCTATGTACTAAACACTCCCAGGGGTATAGATTCTAAGGAATGTTCTGACTCGACTCTTCTTCTATCCCAAAAGGTATCATCATATGGCTAATCGAATGTGATTGCCCATTGCCGTATCATAAGTCTTTCCGTAACCCCAACGCCTGTTCTGCATTGATATGAATGCGATGCAAGATAAAAGTGCCATGATAAACAGTTAATAGAAAGCGACCGTAGCGTACATC